TTTGGGTCCCAAACAAACATTGAAGGTAACATTTTATCTTCAAATGAAATGAGCTGACAAGCTAATTGCAGAGGGAAGCTACTGGCAGAACAAAGAACACAACTTTATCCAGAGATTTACAGTCAAAGCTAACAGATCCAGGCTTCAGCACAGGTTTGGTTTGCAAACAGAAATGGTCTTAAATACAGCCTCCCTACAGGTTCCTTATCAATACCAAGTCATCTAAGTCTTTCTCTGATAAGCAAAAGGGGGCCAAAAGCTAAAGAAAATAAAACAAAAGTCCACTGGGCTTGGTGGTGCACACTTACAGTCCCTGCTGATGAGGAGCCTGAGGCTGGTGGAGCCCATGACTTTGGAAGATCTGAGATGCTGAAGGATGAAAGCCTATGGTATCCACAGTTATGACACCAATATGGTGGCCCTGAGGAGCAGAGAGGTGAGCCATCTCAGGTGAGAAAAACAGAGCAGGGTGAAGTCTCTATGCTAATCAGCATTGGGCCAGTGAGTGGCTGATGCACTTCCAGTCTGAGTGAGATAGGGAAAACCCAGTCTCAAAAACAAAACAATACAACACAACAAGAAGAACAAATACTTCCTCTTGATATTCTAAGGCAGTGTTTATTTATAACAGAAGGAATCTAGGGTAAGAGGGGAAAGTAAACAGAGGGAGGTAAAAATTTCTGGTAGGTGATCTTACATGGGGAATTAGCTGATGACACCTCTTCTGATTACACCCAACCACCCAACTGTGCTAAGTATTGAGTGCAATATAATTAAAACTAAAACCATCATGTGGATTTTAACTTACTCTAGCTTGTACACAAGGAATTAGGTAGCAGTAGTAATTACCATTCACCTAATGTGGTAGCAAGGAAACATTCTATAATGATTCTACTAGGTTAGGCCACCAGAGGTAGCCATGATATAGTTTAAAACAACCATCAGCACCACCCCCTGGTCTGTGATACCCGGGTTATAGATCTGGCTGTACAATTCTCTGTGAAAGCTTAGACAAGTTATTTCCCTTTGAAGACCTCAAATTTCCCTTCTGTAAAATGAAGGTATTAGACTAGATGGTCTCTCTAAGGATATTTTCAGCTTTGAAATTCTATGTTTCTATGCCTCTGAAGGTAATTTTTTCTTAAACATTTTGCTGGCTATAAGTAGACATTCACTTACTCAAGAATCAAAAGCACTGTTCAATTAAAGAACATAATCCTCTGACTAGAAAGCTAGAATAATGTAAGTTATTTTCTTAAATAAAAAATTTTTAAAGAACAGAAATTGAAGATATAAGTAAAAAAGTTCTCATTGTACATGCGACCTTCTAAGTGGCCCTCCAATTCATGCAGTTATTAAAACAAATCATCCAACTTTTAAAGGAAGATCTACCTCCTTTAAAGGAAGGAAATCCTGAAAGGGCAAATCTACCTCAAGAGTGGGACTCAAGGACAAGATGAAGAACATCCGGAAATGTCCTGGCACCAATCTGATCTCTCTAAGATCTTTCAAATTAGGGATTGTCTTAGGAAATGATGAACCCTGATCAGAGTCTTTTCAATCATATCAGTCTGTCCTAAATCTCTGGGAGAATGCCTAGTACCTGTGTTTACCATGTTGAAACCTGGCTACTTGGTTATACTTAGAGAAAATATCATATTATATCTGTTTCATTGCATCCATCAAGATTCTATACTTTTAGCTCTTCCTCTTCCCCTGAGTTGTCCCAGGGAATCATTTAAAATGATGAAGTACTCTCTTGATCTAGAGAACTCCACAAAATCATGCAAGTCAAAGGGTTCAAAACTATAGGTCCACTTCAAGAACATCCATGAAAGAGCCCTATAAGGGGCAAGCATATTTGAAAAGCTACCAAGTATGTGAAAGATGTCACACTGAAGAAACGTATTCCCTTCTGTTGATACATGGTGGAGTTGGCAGGTGTGCCTAGGCAAAGCAAGGTGATTGGACACGGGGTCATTGGCCCAAAAAGAATGCCGAGTTCTTGCTGCATATGCTTAAAAATGTAGACAGTAACAAAGAACTGCAGGGTTTGGATGTGCATTCTCTTGTCATTGAGCATATCCAGGTAAACAAAGCTCCCAAAATGTGACGGTGTACTCACATGGCTCATGATCAAAACAAGCCATACATGAGTTCCCCTTGCAGTACTGAGACGGTACTTACTGAAAAGGAATAAATTGTTCCTAAACCAGAAGAGGACGTTGGTCAAAAGAAAAAGAAACCCCAAAAGAAACTGAAGAAACAAAAGCTTATGGCCCAGGAGTAAATGTAACACTGTCAAGCAAATAAAAATGAAATGAAAAAGAAAAAAAAGTTCAATGAAGTCCCAGGGCAGCATCAATGATGTTAAAAGTCTGAGGTGCTTCATGTGAAAAGAAAATCTTATTAACTTTGAAGAAGGTTGGGCCAAAGAGGCCTGGTAATGCCCGAATAATAACACCGAGCAAGGTCACCTTCAAGCACCAAGGACAATATTTTTATACCTTTTGCACACAACGGGAGACACAGGCCGAAACCATTGTTGTAGAGGTGCCAGGGTGAAGTGTCAATGAACACAGAGTAACTGCAACATCCTGAATTGGGAATCCAAGCAATGGTCCTGGACAGGGAAAAAAAAGACTTTAGCCTTTTAAATATGCTATTTTACACCACTGGGAAGTGAGAAATAACCAATTCAAAACAGCAAAAGGTTGAGACGAATACTACAGTGGAAATTATTTCCAATGGGGGGGGGGGGGGGGGGGGGGGGGGGGGAGAGAGAGAGAGAGAGAGAGAGAGAGAGAGAGAGAGAAAGAGAGGAGATATATCAGAATAATAAAAGGGATGCTAATATCTACTCTAATTTACACACTCTACCTTGCAGGTATGCACTACGAATTCCATTTTCAATGGCCTCTTGAAACTCTTGCAGAAGCTCCTCCCTGATATTTTCAGCATACTCAATAACAGGAACTACTTCAGATTTTTCTCTTGCACATGGTCTCACTTCCAGTTCCACAGTCACTAAATGTCTTTTCTCTCCTAAAGTTCTATCCAACGTATCTAAAACCAAACAGAGCAAATATTTATGAAACAGTGAAGATATGTATCCTAAGGGAAGGTATCATTTTACAAAAGCTGCCATTTATTGTTCCTTGAACTGAACTGGATATTGTCTTTTGTACAAAAAGATGCTGCACCAGTATTTGTTAGGACAAAAGAATAGCACACACCCTTCTCAATCGTCCACAAGTGGAGAGCTGCACTAGGTAAGCCACCCCAAAAAAGCTGTTGCCTGCTTTCTGTAACTTGATCACCTACAAGCTTCTACTGGCTGGCTGGGTTAGGTGTAGTCTGTAGCAGGGAAACAGGGTTGGGTTTTTGTTTTTTGTTTTGTTCTTTTTTGCCTCCATGACTGCTAACATAAGGTTGAAATATACGGTCTTGATCCCTACTTGATAAAACTGAGCTAAATGATCTGGACTTCATTCCTAGAAACATAAGAACCAATGTGTCATGAATTTTTTTTTTTGGGTACCTGTGGCATGGCCTGAGTTTAGGATGGTTTCTCTATATGCTATTTGTAGAGGACCAAGAAAGGTCTCAACTCCATATTCCCTTTTGATGCGGTCATTAATGATCTCAATGTGCAGCTCCCCCATACCACAGAGAACAGTCTGGTGAAAAGAGGAAGAAAAAAACTCCAAATCAAAAAACAGGATAATGACTTCAGAGAACACATGCTACGTTATTTATGTAATGATTAAGCTTCTTTCATCCCACTGTCCAATGGAGGGAAATGTTTGGAAAAGGCACACCAAGGGCTGGGTTATTTACAACACTGTTCATTAGCTGCATTCCCTTTTGCCAAATATGGCAGCAAAGATTTTTGAAAATAAAATAGAATTCAAATTTCAAGAAGTTGGAAAATGACAATGAAAGCAGAGCATATATTTTTTTTCCAATTAAAGTTGAAAAGGCCTTTAACAGGAACATTAGCTTAGTTTAAACTTTCTTATTCAACAAACACCTATTAGCCATGTGATATTGGGCAAGCCACTCAAGCTGTGTGTGCCACAGATGACTCCCTAGGACTTATTTACTCAAGTGAGATCTATGTTGGTGGAGTGGCGAGTTCCCATAAGCTGACATATCACAGCTTCTTCCCTTACTCACAAACATGGAGCTTTATAGTTTACAGAATGCTTTCCTTACAACTCTGGATGTAGAGCAGCAAGGTGACTCAGAGGATATGGTGACAGGCCTGAAGTCAGGAAGACTCATCTTCCTGAGTTCAAATCTAGCTTCAAACACTTACTAGCTGTGTGAGCCTGGGCAAGTCACTTAACTCTGTCTGCTTCCGCTTCCTTATCTGTAAAGTGAGCTGGAGAAGGAAATGGCAAACTACTCCAGTATTTTTGCCAAGAGTATTATTTTTTTTTCCCCCTCATTTTACATATAAGGAAACTGAGGCTCAGAGAAATTACACAATCAGCTCAAAGTCACAAACATACCATATAATTTCAAAGACCAGTGTGCTTTTCAGTACAATACAATGCCTCCCAATTATGAAACTCAAGAAAATTATGAAATCAAAAGGAAAGGAAGATATATACCAAAAGGTAATGAAAATAATTAAGAAAATGTTTATAATATGAAGTATGATTATTCTTTTAAAAATAAACAACAAAAAAATACCCCACAACAGAACTGATATATCTAAGAAAGTATTATTCCTTTCAAATGAGCAACCTTTGGATGTTATTCCAATGTACTGCCATTGATCAAAACATTTTTGGAACTCACTTTGGAATTACCTTCAGAGTTTGCAACATATTCTTTTGAATATCCTATTCAAAATAATGGTGACTCTTCAACTGTGGAGGGTGACTGATTTTTGTCAACAACAGCCAAAAGTCATTTAGAGACATATGTGCTGAATGAGGTGGGTGATCAAGCTGAGCCATACCATTTTTTGTTTAGAAAACAAGAACAAAAACAACCTGTGATTATAAATTAGAAAGACTGATTCACCTAGCTTATAAACAGATTCTAAAGACAATTCCATAAAAGGAGTTTCTAAAATGTTTTAAGCAATGGCAGCATCATTGAAATAAGTGTGTAACCTCACAATATAAAAAGTCAACAATTAGAGAAATACTATTATTATTATTATGACTTATATGGCTGAGACTTCTTTAGCACTTTAAGATGTACAAAACCCTTTATTCACATCAACACGGAGGTACAGAGCATAAGTTATGATGTGCTTTGAAAAAATCATTTATTGGGGGCATCTAGGTGGCACAGTGAATAGAGCTCTGGCCTTGGAGTCAGGAGGACCTGGGTTCAAATCCAGCCTCAGACACTTAACACTTACTAGCTGTGTGACCCTGGCCAAGTCACTTAACCCCGATCGCCTCACCATAAAGCAAAAAAAAAAAATCATTTATTTATAGTCATGCATCTGTGTCACATATATACCACATATACACACACACACACCTATGCCTAATATTAACAAATATTAAATATGTGACACACTCAAAATCATAGAACTGAAGATTAGAAAGGAACCTCAGAGGCCATCAGTCCAACCTATACCTGATTAAGAATCTTCTCTATAACACGTGACTAGTGTACATACAATCTTTGCTCTAAGACCTGACAGGGAAGGGGAACCCACTGCCTTCCCAGCCAAGTCTGGGTAGCTTTTAGCTCTTATTAATATTGAGCTGCAAACTCCCCCTCTGCAACATCTGGCCAGACAGCTCTTCAAATTCTTGAAGAAATTATGAATTCCACCTCCAGGTCAAACATCTCTACTTCATTCAAACTGGGGATTCTCTTATTCAAATAAGTTACATATGGCATGAAATGAAAGGTCTTCACCACCCTGGCTGTATCACTGTGGACAATCTACTGCTTTCAGAATTCATTAGAAACAATTTTCCTCACACACACACACACACACACACACACACACACAACACACATACATACACACACACACAGGTCCATTTGGGGGTGTTCTGACCAGAATACTTAACTGAAGTTCACTCCTTTCAAATGCCAACATATTAACTATTCTTGAAGAAACTCTTCCTAAAATATATTACATATGTCATTGCTTTCTCAAAAGAGAAGACACCAGATATAACTTAACCTTTTCTGGATGAAAATGCTTGTTGAATCAGGTCATCATGAACATCCACGCATACCACAGTTTGTAAACTTCTATCAGGGTTCTGACTCGGCTTCTGAGTTTCACTGGCCACTTCTCTCATTGTCAGACTGGTGAACACTTCTCACTGATATAAATGTGTTTACCTCTAACAGATTTGTGTCTTATTTCTAGTTTTCTGGTTCTAATCTTGGGAACACATAAACCAGAGAATGAAGCTTGAGAGCATTGTGATCTGAGAACAGATAACTGAGAGGTCTTTTTAAAAACTATTTCCAGTTGGCTAACAATGACAGAAATGGAAATGATAAATGTTGCAGAGGATTGTGGAAGAATTGGGACACTAATGCATTGTTGGTGGAGTTGTGAATTGGTCTAACTGTTCTAGATATGGTCTTTTGTACAGAAAGATGCTGCACCAGCATTTGTTAGGACAAAAGAATAGCACACACACACCTCTGAATTGTCCCACAAAAGTAGGGCTGTACTATGTAAGCTACCCCTAGATAAGTTTATTTAAAAAAAAAAAACTACTTCTGGGTATAATACTGTATTCTAAGGGGCAAAGGCTGCTGGATATTTACCCTCCAATACCTAACCAAGAAACTCATTGAGCAGAAAATTACAACATAAAAAGCAAGGGAATAAAATTCCTTTTACCTTTCAATGTGGCAGAGCTATACATATGTTTCACATACCTTTTTTTCCATAACAAACATCACTGTAAATTATCATTTATATGAGATTTTAAAAAGTAGAAACATGCTCACTTGTCCAGAGTCAGGATCTAACCGCACTTTTAAACTGGGATCTTCACGCTGAAGGCAGTTCAATGCTCGATCCAGTTCTATGTACAGATAGATAAATGTTAACATTTCGTGAAATACTTACAAAAGTAACCAACTCAAGACAGACAGACATGCAAAAAAATGTAAAAGATGAATCAAATAAAAGTTCAATCAAAGAAAGTAAAAGTGAAAAAAGCTAAAACAGAAAGAGATGGTAGCTGTGTGATACAAATCATTTGTCCCAAATATCTCTACGACAAAGAAGTGATACTATATTTCAAAAGAATCAAAAAGAAATGCCCTCCAATTTAAAAAGAAAACGACTGTGTCCTTCATCATACAACGTGGTTCAAGTACAATGTTGTATAACTAACAGTGAGCTAATGTAACCTCACCAGTTACTCTTTCAAGTGGTTCCTCAATGATACAAAAATTAAAGGCTTCTGTGTATCTTCCTTAAAAACCAGCCCAGTGCCCTGCATTTAATAGGAACTTCATTAATGGTTACTGACCTGAATTATACATTATGTTTTGAGTACCTAATGTCAAATAAGAATACTTTTGGCATTCAGTCAAGTATTATAAAAAATTTAAGTGCCTATTTATCTGCAAGATACTGCGTAACTTAGCATCTGGTCCTAGATTTGATATAGGGAAACAAAATAAAACAAGGTGAGATTATTTAAATTACTAAGACTGATTCATAGTAATCTACTAAAAAAGTTTCTAAAATATTTTGAAAGTAGTAGAATCAGAGTAAATGTACAGTCACTCAGTGTGATTATTCTGAAAGACAACACACACACAGATACTTTTATTATTACTGATATTTCTGGGCCTCAGTTTTCTCATCTATTAAAAAGAGACTGGACAAGCTGATCTCTAAGACTTTTTCTAGTTCTAATGATCTATGATCTGTCCCAGCTGCTACAGATGGTATAAAGTTGAATAAACACAGCCCTTACCCTCAGAGAACTTCTACTCTAATAGGATTATACAAAAACATGAACATCTATAAAGATGTGTTGCATAATGGGGAGATGTATCCAGCCTGTAAAATAGCATTTGGAATCAAGTAAATGCTGCTAAATAGTATTATTAAAGGTAGTAAAATTAACAAATTAAAGTTTCTTATGGTATCTAACTAATAAGGTTGTAAAGAAGTTCAAATAAGATAATATATGTAACGCTCCTTGTAAACTAGGATCTTTGTAGAATCTTTGTAAACTATTAAATGGCCAGAGAAATGAACTGGGCTGTAAGAAAGGCCAGATCATTATCTTTAGAAAAAAATCTTTGCCCATCTGTCCAACACCCTATAGAAAATGCCACACTAAAGCAAAAATAAAGAAATCTACAATAATGGAAGAAATGATTCTAAACACAATGCAAAATAATCAAATGAGTAAAATAGTTGGCCAAGTTTAAATAAAAATGACCAATCCCAGGAAATTTCGGAATCAAATTTGTTTTATACATGAAAACATTTATAGCTATACCATATCTAAACCTATATATGAAATACCTAGTGTTCCATATTAATCATCAGAGCCAATTATAGCAACAATTGCATCTATACCTGGCTGTTTGGCTACTGAAGGGGGCTCTATGGTACAAAAGAAGACAGGTTCTGGAATCTCTACCCCTGCTAATAAAAGGCTCCCTGTTTCCATGTTTTTTCTGTGTATCTTTCCTTCATTCCTTCCAGCTCGACGGGCTGCAGCCAATGCTGAGGCCTTGGACGAAACAATGGTATCCCCAGTGGAAGTCTGTAAAATAACCAAAATATCATGAGTCATGACTTAGTGATGGAGGCTATTAGATTAGGCCCCTTCACCCAGAGGACGGGGAATAACAACATGCAGGCAACATACCGACAGAATGATTAATGAACATTCATCAATGAGTAGAATCTGATTTCAAAAGAATTCTACTAACCGTTGTGTTTAGCTTTATCTGACCTAGTCAAAATTGTTCAAAGTCTTAGCTGGCACATTTGCAAAGGGCTCCAGCTTTTTTAGTCTAATTCAATATAAAACTGTACAACCCCTAATATTTGTGGGCTATCTTGTGGTCAGGCAATCTGTAGACAGATCTAACTCCGAGGGAACAGTTACCAATGGGTGATAACAAAGTGGAAGGCATATGTTTTCTTGTATATCATCAGCAAAGCCCAAAGTTGTATCAACTAAGGGTAAAACTTTGTCTCTCTTGCTTGAAATCTTTTCCTGACTAGTAAGGCCAGCAAAGACTTGGCTTACATGAAAAAGAAACATGAAATATGAGTAAATGCCCTGGCACATGCTGCAATATCAGAAACAAAAGATCTATAAGTTTTTAATATATCTTTCTGTGTAGCAAAGCTGGTCTGATTCTATTCAAAAAGTGTTTATTAAACTCCTGTGTCAGGTACTGGAGACAGGAAGACAAAAAATAACAAAGTCCCTGTCCTTGAAGAACTTATACTCTATCAGGAAGAAATAACATGTACACAAAGTAAATATCAAAAGGGTTATGGTTAAGGAATGAGATTTTACCCAAAATGTTTTTGTTGGGATCTAATTAAATGAATATTTAAAGACATATACCACAAGAAATATACACACAAAAATTACCTACAAATCAAACTTGTTAAGGTATACCCTTTTCTGTCCAGACAAATCAAACATAATAGTGTATTGTGGCTGGAAAGGCCTTGGGGATCATCAGGTTCAATCTCTTCATTTCATGGATTAGGAAACTGAGGCCCAAATAGATTAAGTAATTTATTTAAAATCACAAAGCAAGTTAATGGCAGATCCGAGACAAGAATTGAGCCTCACAGTCCAGTCTCTTTCCATTCTATTACCATACTGTCTCTTCTAAGTAATATATTTTTTTCTCCCAGGATATATTTTCACTCTTTAGGATTTTTTTTTTAAATCATGAGAATGGAATATCAAAATTTAGATAACCCTAACATGTCTATTCTGTTGAATGAAATAGCTCAATGACGTTTAATGACATTTGTCTAAGAGTACACATCTGCAAGACTATGGTCAACCATCTCCCTTACAATTATGAAAGTTAAAGAACAACTAAATAAAACATCAGATTCAGGAAAATTTTCATAATAAAATAAAGGAAACTTAAGTCCTTAATTCTTCAATTAAATTCAATAAACATATCTTGGGTAGCTACTATGTAGAAGGTAATCAGCTAGGCCATGATTAAGAAACATGTTTCCTAGATAAGTAAGCTACTCTGTGACTACTAAAGTCAGTACAAAAAGTTGTGCTACCCAGAATTCTAAGCTGCTGTACTCTTTTAACTTATGTTCACCCGTCTATATTTATAAAAATTATTTGTATATATTTGAAAAATCTACTTGTAGATATGTCATTTAAATATTTTATTTGTTTATATTTGCAAAAAGTTAATACTACAGTAGAAAAGAAATAGCCTCTGGTGGTGATACCCTTATGATCTTTGAAATAGGGATATTTTCTTTTCAAAGTTGGTCTGAGTTTCCCAATATAAGATTGTTATTCTACAAACTCCCTTCTTCTGGAGAATTATTAGGGGTTCTTTTCTATTAAAACTATTAAGTTGGGGCAGCTAGATGATGCAGTGGATAGAGCACCGGCCCTGGATTCAGGAAGACCTGAGTTCAAATTTGGCTTCAGACACTCGACACTTACTACCTGTGTGACCTTGGGCAAGTCAATTCCTCCCATTTCCTTGAAACAAAAAACAAAAACAAAAACAAATGACTAAGTCCTTGGGAGAACATTTTAAGTGACAGCATCTTACTTTTGTGCCAATCCTAGCAGGAGCACATTATATTTCAGCACTTAATAAATGTTTTTTGACTAGAATTCCACAGTTTAATATCTAACCATTCAACAAATATTTATTAGCACCTGGTCCATGCACTCCAAGAGTCTGTAATCTAGTTAGAGTTATAAGAATAGGGAATGTGCAAGACATGCTTTAGGGACAAGGATTCTGGGCAAAATGAAGAGATCGTTCCACTAGAAAGATTAATCTGACCCTTGTATGTAGGATGGATAAAAGAAAGGTGGTTGAGAGGGGTGGATGTAGGAAGTCAAGTTAAAAGGATGAAAAACTGTAAAAATTTAGAACAAAGGTAGTAAGGACACAAACTAGAGTGATGGCAGTGAGAGGGAGGCTAAGAATGGAAAGGAGGATGGACAAAAAATGGGTAACAGGAAATGGATAAGAAAGATGATAGACAGGGAGATAGAACTGCTTGGCTATATGGCAGAAAGGCTCCACAACTACCAGCAAAGGTGACTGAAGAATAGTGGTACCATTAACAGACACAGAGACAATAGGGAATGGAATAGAATGGAGTCAGAATTCATGCTTAGCACTTTGTTGAACAAAAATTATAGTAATATTTGCCTGTTTTCAATACACAGAGAATTTATTTCTTTCAGCCTCCAGAATCTACAGGAATTGCTAATGTTGTACATGGAGTAGCTTTTCCCCAATTTTATATTTCAAAGCTGAGGCTGTCATTTGTATTTATTTATACAGTCCTTCCAGAGGACTTCATACGCTATCCAAGACTAAGTACCATGCACTGTTAGTGCCATAAAAGGTTACCAGTACAGATGCTTTTCTGCAACAGCATCAGAACTTGACGCTAATTAAGGCTGTTATGGAAGTGCTTTCTAATACGAACATTTTTTCTGGAATCAATTAATAACATTAAGAGGGGGTGGGGGAAGAGAAGTACTATTTTAGTGAAGTACTTGAAAACTGGTCATTTATATACATTATACACATTTATAGTCCGTTATCAAAATAGTTTTTTGGCTACAATAGTCTTACTGATCAAGCTAAAAAGATAACTGTGCAATTTAACTTTACTTAGAAATATCTTAAAGAACTTAGCATAAAGATGAAGTAATGATAAAAGTGTGAATCTGTCCTTTGGATCCTTAGTTTCAACCCTACCCAAAAATTTTATTTAAAAAGCAGCTCAACAATATTTTAATTTTAGAAACTAAATTTTAAGAATGAAAAACACCATATGGCCTTTTAATATTTTATATAAACTCAAGCTAAAGATAATTTATCAAACATTTACATTGTCACTGTAGGAAGTCAATTTTTTCTGAGAGAAATCAGTCATTTACTTGCCTGTTTAAGTCCTACAGCTAGGGCAATATTGCCTGCTGTCAAAGAAGGAATTTCGATATGTTGGTCAGCAAAAGGCAATAGTAACCGGCTTATTCTCTCTCTGCAAATAAATGATTTGTGTTAGTATTGTACTCTTAAGGAAATTAACATGGTTTTAGAAAACAATCAGAGATTTCACTCACGTGCAATTTCCATTAATGTTATGGACGGCTGACTGGGGTTTCATTGTACCAGAATAAATGCGCATGAAAACGAGAGGCCCACGCTGTTTGTCATGGAGAACTTTAAATGCCAAGGCACACAAGTCATCTTTATACCACTGCCTATAAAATAAAAGCAATAAGTGGACCACATAACCCCACCGTATGACTTGGAACTTGCTTACAGTCAGACTTTACAAATATTCTCCAATTTGCACCATTATCCCCTCTGTTTTATTCATCATGGTGACCAAAGACTTCCTGTTTCATGTAACAAAGAGCACTATTCATTGCTATCCTTCCTAACATGCTCATAGATTCTTTGCCACTTATTTCTAAATACAAGGCTCCTCCATTGATTACAAAGGGTGGGATGAGACCTCACAGGCATCTAGTTCAACCCCCTTATTTTACAGATGAGGAAATGAAGGGAGGCCAAGGTGGTGAAGCAACTTGCCAAAGTTAACATAAGGAGTAGAATTTGAACCCAGACCTTTTTGACTCTAGTCAGTGCTCCTTCCACTGAATCACACTGAAAGCATTTAGGTATGTCACGGATACCACCACAATCATTACTCCCATCCATTACCAGCTTACCTCTTTATCAAATCATACATATCCTAAAGAATGTCTAGAACAGGGGTGGGGAATCTGCAGCCTCGAGGCTCTCTAGATCCTCAAGTGTGGCCCTTTGACTGAATTCAAACTTCACAGAACTAATCCCCTTAATAAAAGGGGATAAATAAAACTTGGACTCAGTCAAAACGCCACACCTGAGGACCTAAAAGGCCACATGCAGCCTCCAGGCCACAAGTTCCTACCCCTGGTCTAAAATATCTAAAATACCACATCAAGTAAGTAATCAATCTTTGATAATGTATTATATAGCTTACTTCAGTTCAGTAGTGTTGATTAAGTGCCCACTATGTGCTAGGTACTGCCTTAAGTGCTAGGGATATAATTATAGAAAAGAAACACAATCCCTGCCCTCCAAGAGCTTACAGTCTAATGAGAGGTGACACAAAAAGAAAAGCTGAAAGGGGAGGAGGGGAGGCAAGAGTATAAGGGTGGAGATGGTGAAACCAAGTCCACAATGAGTGCTGCCAGAGAAATCAAAGAAGTACACAATTAGTGAAGCTGGGTGGGGAGTGAGATATGTCCTATCCGGTCCCATCCATGGCACCACCCTTCAATCAGAGAGGCAGAGGGTACCGATAGGTATGAGGAACAAGGTTGTCTGGATCTTGGTAGAAAAGACAAAGAAGTCCACAAGGGGTGCAGCTAGTGGGAAGTGAGGAAATGCCCCTCATGTTCAGCACGTTTTTTTTCCAATTCCTTTAGGCCACCTGCAATTTTGATTCTCCAGACACTGAGGCATTCCATGATTGGTAACCACGTAGTGTATCACAAGGGATATACTATATAGTAGGGTTGAAAAGATGGGTTTTGTAGCAGGGAGTATCTTGGGATGAATGAAAGTGCTACACAAATTCACAAATTAACTCTATCTTGTTCTCATCCTCATATTATTCAACTGGCCTTTATTCACTGTCCAACTGTAGAGCTGAAACACACACATACTCACACACACACACACACACACACACACACACACACTTCTTGATTTCTCCCTGTTACATGTTGAGAGACTGAAGAGAGTAAAAACGGATTTCAACATCAATGCTGCAGTATTGAAGGCGGGGGATAACTGGCAATTATTTACTCTATGATAAATATGTTTAATGCTCTGCTCCTCAATATTGCCATACTTTTATTACTCTAACCTGTTTTTTTAATTATGGGGGAAAAAAGAAAGGACTTAAAAAATGCTGCTAAATGTTAAAAGACTGAATGTTAGAAAAAATGAAAATTATCTACAGACATGAAAGTTATTTTATAGTAAACTGTGTGTGTGGAAATATTGATTGGTTAGAGCAAAAGTCAAAGTTAGTACCAAATTAGAAGAAAAAGTAAGAATGACATGACATCTTTAAAAATGTAAGGCTGGATGAGAAAATTCCTTCTAGTTCTAAAACGTTATGACTATACTGACTTTCTTAGTTTAAAAATAGTAACTAAAGTATTAACTAAAGTTAAAAAAATAAACTATCATTTTTCATTTCTTTCCTACAAGTTAAACAATTAAAAACATACTTCCATTTTCACTTACAGAAATTCATTGTTGCGCTCATCAGGAGAAGGCAGGTACATGGTAATGGCGTCTAACAAAGGCTGGACCCCTTTATTCTTCAGGGCACTTCCACAGAGCACAGGGACAGCTCTCTGAGCCATAGTTACTCTACGTATTGCAGGGTGTAACTACAAAGAATACACAAGAAAAGCAGTTTACACTTAAAATATTAAAGCTTTCGCTTGGGTTTATTCACACACTTACCAGAATGAACCATTTCCAGACGAGAGCACACAAATACAAATTTGTCTTGCTTGACTTTGTCATAAGGGTGGGTTTTCATTTGCCATAGTTGGAGGATAGAGATACAGCAGGAGATTAGTGAGAGTAATAGAAAACAACACAAGAGAGAAGGAAAGAGCATCAATGAAACATTTAAAAATGCCCAAAGGCAACCAGAGCGGTGTTCAAAGGGGAACACAGACAAACAGGGAAATACTGTACAATGTGTTACATTTAACGTATATTATCAAAAGGAACACAATGCATGCAAAGGATTCATGGTTTCATGAACAATCCCCATTTTCTGGCCTCCTTTGGGCATGGAAATGGTTGTGTTTGTTCATGATTTTCTATTTCATATTGAAAAAAGTGGGGGTTTTTTTTGTTGGGTTTTTTTTTTTTTGGTGAGGCAATCGGAGTTAAGTGACTTGTCCCAGGTCACACAGCTAGCACACATCAAGTGTTTGGTCTGAGGCCAGATTTGAACTCAGGGCTTCCTGACTTTAGGGCTGGTGCTCTATCCACTGCATCACCTACCCGCCCCAAAAAAGTGTTTCTTAAAAGAATGAAATGGAATAAATTTGTCTCTCTAAATAAAGTACAGAATAAGTGAACAGAACAAGGACTCTCTTTCCCTTAAACTAAGTAACTACCCTCCTCTTTTATATTTTTCAAATATACCATGTTCTTTAAAAAAAAAAAAAGGGCAACAATAATCTAAAATCAAAAGAAAAAATATCGCTAACTTTAAGAATTAAAAAGTTACAGGAAATAAATCACCACAGGTGACATTTAGAAAAAAATAAAAGAAAAAGAAAAAAAAATTTCCTTTACAATTCTCTAATTTCATGTAATCAGAACTGGATTAAAGATCCTTTCAAATCTGGAGACCTAGATTCAATCTCTGAATTACAAATGAATTAGGGCAGTGGCATCAAACAGAAATGAGGGCTGTTAAACCACACATAAGACTCTCTACGGGCTGCATATTGACTTGGAAAACCACATATTAACATTCTCTAAGTTTTATTGTACATTTACTTATCTTGTTAAACATTTCCCCAATATATTTTAATTTGGTTCAGCCATGCTCGGAAGTGTTGTGGGCTGCATGGTTGACACCTCTGGACTAGGCGACGTCCATGCAGCCCACAACAACTGTCCCTCATAGCTCTAAATCAGTGATTCAATTATGGGTTCGTCTGGATTCCTCACTTTACACATTACTATTTCAAAAACAGCACTTGATCACTTTTGGTTTCAGGAAACTAAGAACAAGAAACACTAAGGTTGCCAAGCTCACATGGAAAGCACCTGGCAAATCAGAGCCAAGAGGAAGCTTAATGAAATCTGTTAATGTTATGGCTGATTAAAACCAGCAGCATGATTTCCTGTCCTCTTGTTCAGCTAATTAAAAAAATAAAACAAATACATAAAACAACAACAAATCTAGATTTTAAAATCTTCAGAATAACTATTAAATGAAAAATCATTTTAACATTAGCCTGAAAATCCAGTAATTAATTTGCTGAGACAAATTTAAGTTGTGAGATTTCTTTCTAGAATCTTTTAAAACTAAGTGATTTGAAAAGAAAAAAGCTGCAAAAGTTGTATAAAGTATTTAATGAATAAAACTCATGTTATCACAAGTTGCATTCATACAGACCTCCAAGATTTATAAAGTGCTTTTCTCACCATAGGGTAGGTAGGTAGGTAGTAGGTAGTATCATTCTCCCTATTATACAGATGAAGAAAACGAGGCTCATGGTTACTCAGATCTTTCCAATTAAGGCTAGAAGTAGAACCCAGGTATCTTGATTCCAGGTCCAGTACTTTTTTTCACTATGGTATGCAAATATTTATTTAGCATTTACTATTACGATGCACTGTGCAGGTATTTTACAACAGACAAAGATGAGTAAGACACTATCCCTTCCCTCAGAACTCACATGATCCCAAAAGCTCAACTTCTAATATCCAAAGATTGAGCACATAAAGTACAGTAGATGATCAATCATCATCCTTTAAGTTTATAAGCAGTAGATTTATTTTGAATCTGTTTGATTTTTAAATATTTGTTGATGTTATGCAAAGTATAAGAAATTAGCACACAAATAAATTGAACTAAGTCTAATCAACACAGTAGTAAAATGATCTATTTTACCTTTTCAGCTGGTAACAAATCAAAATTTTCAATAAACTCTCCTAAAACTAGGTCAGCAAACTCATCATCCAGATCTGCAACCTGCAACAGAAATGAATCAGTACATTTCCATCAAGTACAGTTACTTACACCTAAATATGATAAAAATGCAATATTACTGAGAGAAAAAAAATCTTTTGTCAAGACAAATAGAGGTTCCAAATGCAATAAAAGTAAAATAGTAAATAGCTACCTGTTGGACATTTAACAGGATTATAAACTTTTAGCGTATTAGCTTTGTCATAGAATCAACTCAGGGCAAGAAGGGGCAGCTAGGTGGTGCAGTGGATAGAGCACCAGGCCTGGAGTCAGGAAGATATGAGTTCAAATCCAGCCTCGGACAATTAGTAGCTGTGTGACCCTGAGCAAGTCATTTAACTCCTATTTGCCTCAGTTCCTCATCGGTAAAACGGGGACACAATGAGAAGGAAATGGCAAAGCCACTGCAGGATCTTTGCTGAGAAAACCCCACAGACAATGGGATCACAAAGAGTAGGACACAAGCGAACAGTAACAATAATAACAGAAGGGACGATGGGAGTCAACTTGTCTCACATCTTCATTTTGTATGTGAGTAAACTGAGAAATATTGGTTCAATTACTTGGTTACTCAAGGCCATACATCCATGACTCAGACTCTTCTGATTCCAAATTTAGAGTTCTTGCTACACATCCATAATTACAAAAAGTCACTTCTAGTACTTGATATTTTCTTTGCAATAGTTCCCATCTGTTTTTTATTTTAACTTTACTAAGCACTTTACTAGTGAATGCAAATGATTCACAGATGGACGTGTATCTTCATATCAAAAATGGTTAAGAGAAAGGATAAGAAACTAGAAAACAATTACAAGAATTGAAATTGAGATACATTATCGGTTTCTTGAGCTCATGGTTAGTCAAATCCCAGTAGCTAATGTCTATTCACAGTATCCTAGAAAATAATAAAAGGTACTACAAATGGTGGGGTTAAGTGACTTGCCCAGGGTCACACAGCTAGTAAGTATCAAGTGTCTGAGGCTGCATTTGAACTCAGGTCCTCCTAACTCCAAGGCCAGAGCTTTATCCTCTGTGCCACCTAGCTGCCCCTCCAAATGGTAGCTTTAAGATTAACAGTCTAGTGAACTGTTTAAGGATTTTTTCTGAAAAGCTAAAACGGTGGATTTTGTTTCTATTGTAGTAAGTTTTTATATGTCTTCCAGATTCCCAAGGTAATCAAATAAGCACATTACGCTGCATTAAAAAATAACAAAAAAAAAAAATCACCACCTAGTCTCACCATGACTGCATTAAAAGAAAATATTTTAAAAGATGTGAATGTTTAGCAAATAGTGGCTGATAAATATTAAATAGATATGAAAATTAACTAGTTCATAATCTTATCATGGTTAATTTCTTTTGTGAAATATAAGGAAAATGCTTCAGCTATTTGATAAAACAACTGATGTTCAAAGGGAGAACTTAAAAACTCTGAGTCAAATAGCTTGAAGGGAGGAGGGAACATAAGTCTTTGTAACACTGATACCTATGACAGAAACTAACCTGCATTTCTGTACTATTGCTAGTGTCAATTTGGCATTTAGTCAATATTAACTCAATCTTTTCCTTCTCAAACATTTGTTTTCTGCAGCACACAATAAGCATATTATCCTATCTTTTGCTCAATCATTATTTCATGTTTCACCATGCCTCCCCCATAAGCTTCTTGGAGACCAGAGTCATATATTAAACACAATAAGTATGTATATATTATTTCATCTCTCTGCACATGGCAATAAAAACATTATTTGTTAGATAACAAGTACAAACTTTAAATTTCTCCTCAAATGCTTAAAGCATGAGTCTTGATTACTATTAACTTCCTTGAAAATGACAAATTTTACCAACAGCTGTAAAGTTTCACAAAGTGAAAAAGGAAGTGCTCAGCATAGATTTAGACCTAATTCCCCTGCTGGAAAGTTAAAATTGCAAGTTCTTAAATAATCTTATGAGATATGTAATTAGACTTCTTTACTTGAGTAGTACAATATTTTGTTCTTTGCAGACTGACACTATAAATATCAGCAATCCTGCTTATTAAAATTCTACAAAGGAAGAATAATCCAGACTGCATTTCTCCTCTCCCATAATTATGAAATAAAGGTTTTAAAAAGCTCCTGAAATATTTCATATAATTTAAGCACCAAGTATATTTACTTTACTTGTTCAATTAAGGCATTTCTTGCTTCCTTGGCCTCCAACAGCAATTCAGGATCATTCAGTTCTGTAAGGGGCTCTCTCACAAACTGTTTTCCGTCATCAGAATTAGATACAGGGGTCCAAATAACTTTTTCCATAGTCACAACATCAACTAATCCTTTGAAAGCTTTTGCTTCACCAATTGGCAACTGCAAGTAAGAAATTAACATTATTAGATCAGCATTCAACTAGGATCGTAGGATTCACAGTCCAGGCCCTCCACAGAAACGTGCCCCCAATGTTATTTTAATAATCTGCTGTTATTAAGTCAACCAATTTACCTGTAAAAGCAAAGGTTTTGTCTTCAGCTTCTTTCTTATGCTTTCAATAGCATAGTTAAAACTGCGGGAAGTAAAACAGTTACAAAGAAAAAGGTTATACAATCTGCAAAGTCAGCTCAAGATGACTTTTAAAAATTTTGGTCACACACAATTTTAGTAATCCATAACTTTCCTCTCACCTTCCAGGTTCCCTAGACTCCTTTAAGAAACATACTAGCTCTCCCCATCTCATTCAGACTGGAAACACAGCAGCCCCTTGTTTCCGCCCTGGGGCAGAGCCTGTCCTTCTTCACGCAGCCTGGGGGCTCCTCCCAGGGGCTCCCCACACTGGTGCCAGATGCAGTGCTGGCACCAGATCAACTAGAGCCTGACTGCAACTCTGAACTCCAGAGCTCAAGCCGCCTACCAGCCTCAGCATCCCCAGTAGCAGAGGGTACAGGTGTGTGCCACAACAATACACCTGGCCCTAACTTCCTTTTATCAATTTCCTAAAGGACATCCTTTTGAATAACTTCATGCATCTAAACACCCCTACTTCCTAGATTTAGAACCATGAGGTCATGTGCTCAAGTCCTCATTTTGCAATGAGGAAAGTGAGGCTCATAAAGGTTAAGTTACTTCCCTGAGGTCCTACAAACTGTAGAGCCAGGTGAATCATCACCCAAAAGATGAGGGAAGAAGGATATTTTCAGAAATGAATGGAATATAAAAACATAAGATATGAATAAAAATAGGATAAAATGTAAAATTTTAAAAAGTAGTAGTGTCAGACCCAGATCTTTTAACTCCAGAACCATCATTTCCACTACATAATGCTGACACCTAAAGATGAACCTTCAGGATTTTCTTACAGAATCTCCTCACCAGTCTTCCCCCCTCCAATTCATATTTCACTTCATTAACAAATTAATCTATCTTATTCACAGAAGACTGATCCTGATACTTCTCTACTCAAAACCCATCAATGGCTCCTGACTGCATAAAGAATAAGGTCAAAGCTCCTTAGCCTGGCATTCGAGACCCTGTCCAGTCTACTCCAGCTCACCTTCCAGCCTTATCCACACTTCTCTGTTCCCCCTATAACCAAAATGAGTACTTTTTTGTTGCCTGCATATACTTTCCTATGTTCACACTTTTGCTCAAGATACTCTCAATGCCTCGAATATCCTTATTCCTTGTGATCACCTGTTGAAATCCTAGGTCCTTCAAGAATCAACTCAAAGGCCACCTCCTGTATGACACCTGTCCAGATGCCCTCTAGTCTGCAATGATCGCAAAGATACCTGACAAAGAACTGTTTGTTCTTTCATAAATTTTCTGTTCTATTTTTATGGCCTAGTGATTTTTAAAGAGGAGACACAACAAATGCTGTCAAAGAGGAGAGGGTAGTCTCAGGTTTCAAGAACAAAGATAGTATCTATCATCTTTGTGTTTCTTAATTTCACATGCTTTTTATTATAAATCAAGCTAGACCAAACACAATTTTCACATGGTTAAGAGGCTGGCAACCTATGGCATACAGACATGTTGGCATTCAGATCCATTTTTATTGCCTGACCATCTGCCACCATCCTCCCACCCCCTACTCCACCTCCTACTTGGATGGAGACATTTGGTCTCCCCTTCCTGGGAGTTAGGTTTCAGTGTGAACAACACCTCAGGATCCCAGAAAGGTCATAATTTAGCATAACAACTTTTTAGATATTATTATTAATATGATTAATGAATAGAGACAAAAATCATTTAAAAATGTATCACTCTAGGAGAGGTCATGTAGAAATACAACACATATAATACAATATAACACAAGCCAGTTTTGGCTTGACCGTAACATAAACAATCACATATTCTCCAACTATACTCATAGTAGTGCAAGGACCCCTAGCAAGTTTTCCTCTATGTTGTAAATACCTTTAAGCACCCTTAACACAATGTTTTATACACATCACTCCTAATCAACTATCACACCTCCCACTACTCAAATCACTATTTTCCTAAGGTCTGTCTGCAAAAGATGGTTTGCCAGATAGTTTTGCTGCTGTTTAAGTTATGCCACTATGTAGGGAGGTGAGGCTTCCTCTTCTTCCACCTGTACCCCTATAATCCTTGCCCTCCCTCATCCCCTACTACATCTTCTACACAGAGGGCATAAAGTATTAGTGTCCATGCTTTGGTGTACAAACTACATCCAGAGAGGTCCCGGTTTGGTATTCATTTTGGCTCTTTTTGGCCAATAAGGGAATAAAGTCCCTTCTGCCTCAGATTTTCTCCTTGATTCACAGTGGGATTAGTTTTCCTCACCTACCTTGATTCCCATTCAGAGAGTTCCCTTAATTCTGCTCACATAATTTCCTTAAACTATATTCCCTTTTTCTTTGACCCACAGCCTTTAGGCCAAATCCCAAGCTATTACTGCTTTCCAATTTTTGGCCTTTACCCTCTAAACCAGGGGTGGGCAACCTGGGGCTTCAAAGCCATGGGTGGCCCTCTAGGTCCTCAAGGGCAGCCCTTTGACTGAATCCAAACTTCAAAGAACACATCCCCTTTGTTAAAGGATTTGTTCCATAAAACTTGGACTCAGTCAAAAGGCCGCACCCGAGGACCCAGAAGGCCACATGTGGCCTCGAGGCTGAAGGTTCCCCAGCCCTGCAAAACCCTTCATTTCTTCTTATTCTAAATCATCCTCCTTTTCTGAATCCAACGTTCCTAAAAGCTCCAAGTTTTCACAGATTTATTCTCTCTCTCATCCCTCTAGATCTATGATTGTCCCAAGATGGCAACTACCTTCTTTTTCATTACCATTCTATGTTTATTGCTGAGTCCTATTGATTTTCTATGTGCATTTCTTAACATCCATACACAAAACATTCTCATTTGCTGTATACTTATATATCAACCAGTCAGGAGCAGGAGACATGACAGAAGTAGATTGTCTGATAGGTAATCATGGTGGCAGAAAAGGGAATATTTCACTCTCTCTGCCTCCAGAACTAAAGATAGCCAAAGTGTCTTCAACTAGTCTGCAGAGACCATATGTTTACATAAAAAACAAAAAGTCAACAAGTCTACTATCTACTGTGGTAAGAACTGTCCACCTCAACCACAACTGAATCTGTCTGACCCACTTCACTACCAGTAGGAACTCCCACCAGCAGGTCTACTGAGCTACTTACTTACTAAAAATTGTAATTTGTCCTAGATTATTTGCAATGCTACTTATAAAACAAGATAAAATAAATTATCAGAAGATATATAGATGATGATTCCCCAGAACTATTACAAAGTTTAGATTGTAAATTTCAATTCTAGAGATATCAAGGGCCTATATGGGCTGTGCATACATTGTCAGGAAGGAGTGGAAAGAACATGAGCTGTGCAAGAAAATCAGCAGTACAAGAGGAATTAGAAAAAGGAGAAAGAGAAAGTAGGACTGAGCTAAGGCAGGTAAGAGAGAGATCCAAGAGTGTCATTGGCCCAATAGGCATCTCCAACCAGAAGACTCACTGGCATCACCAGTTGAAACTCACTTCCTCAAGGATTCCTCTTTCTCCAACTTTGCCTCCCAGTGCCTGTCTTATTCAGACACTATAACATACTGCTGTTTCTTTTCTCAAAATCCAGTAACCTGAATTTTTACTTAATCACAAAGAGGTTAGTGTTTACCAAAAGATAAATATAAATGTAAATTAAGGAAGAGACCAAACCTCTGCCTAAATGTTAAGAAATTTCTTAATTGAGGGCTCAGAGCCATTGTGATAGTGTTCCTACCTTTTCTTTTAATATAAATTCCCTAAAGTAGCATAGGAGAGAAATACGTGGACCTGAGGGGCCACCATATTACCCCAGGCTTAAAATGAGTAAATAATTGTAAAAATGTTCCACTTAAAATGTATCATATGAGTTCAAATCCAGCCTCAGATACTTACTAGCTACGTGATCCTGAGCAAGTCACTTAAACTGTTTGAAGAAGAAGGAAGAAGAAAAAACATAATATATGATAATATAAATGCTATGTTAGTGAGGTCTAAGGTTCAAAGTCTTCCAGTGGGCAAGACCAATCTAGCTTTTACTTGACTGGGACAGCCTTCAAAAACTTAGGGTCATCAGCCTACCATAATGAGGCATCAAGGGAGGTCTTTAGTGGAGGGCACACAAGTAGGTTGAGGAACAAAACAACGTAAAGGAATAGAAGTTTACTCTATAGAATTTGAAATGTTTGTGGTTCTGTCAGCAAGGGAAAGTCTGCTGAGGTGTGCCAGTGGTGAGCAATGATGAGAGATAGCAGTAATAAGAGTTAGAACAGATGTTCAGAGATGAAGGTACTGAGAGATGTCAGCACTAATTGACTGCCTGGATGTGCTTAGAGAGTTATGGCAACATTAAAAGACTGCAATACTGCATGAGTTTGGGAAATGGGTGGAGTTGGATGAGATGTTTTGGGGATTTGGGAGAGAAGGGAGGAGTATGACATTGACAGATTTCCTCCTTTTAATTCTAAATTTGTTCATGAGTTCTCTGCCTTTCATTATAATTCATACACATAAGGATACACATACACGTAAGGGTTCATTTCAAAAGTAACAGATGTTCTTGTATGAATTCAATTGTTTTTAAACAGCTTTATTACTAACAAAATGAAACAAAGATGTCATTAAAAAATTTTTTTTTAAATTTCAACTCCACTTCATCAAAGGCCCAAATAATTTTCTCATTTTAACAAACAAAAGACAAATGTTTTCAATACCTTGCTCCAGTTTTGTCCATCTTATTTAAAAAACAGATTCGAGGCACGTGGTGTTTATCAGCTTGTCTCCATACTGTCAGAGTCTGTGCCTAAGACAAAGACAATGGAAAATATAAATTTAATTGCCAACAATAAACATTTATTACCAGGCATGGAATAATTATGTCATAATCACAAATTAATTTTAACACAGAATTAGGTTTTTTTCTAACACTGATCAAAAGTGGAATCACTACATTTTGCCATCTACACTGTCACACCCACTGGGTAAAATGCTATCATTTTGCTAATTATAACTATTCAATTCAATAAACATTTATTGAGCATTTAAAAAAAAAGAAAAGATCAAAATTAATGCTAACTCAAGTTTCTACTGCATTGATTACTAATGCATTGTTCTAGAATGTAACTGATTTTATGCTGTATTAATTTCATAATTGAGTCTGCAGCTGCCTAAAGCTATCTTTTTATGTCCTTGAGTTGAGCTCAGGAATTTAGCTTTTCTTCTGAATAACTTAAAGTTAGTTTAAAAGAAATATTGTTATCTCTCATACCCTTACCCTCTGGGATACTTCTTGAATAGGTTTAAGTCCAACCAGTTAACTTGCTACTATTCCCAAAAGACATGTCATCAGTCCTTGCTTGTCTTTGTGTAACTAGAAGAGTTTTTAATCTCTTCCAAGGAGACAGCAAGTCTGGCAGCTCTGATCCCCTAGCAAAGATTACAAGATGTGGATGGGTTGCTTAAGACAATAAATAATTCTTAATTGTTGGAGAGGGGTGGTTACCAGCCCCACGTGGGCGCTAGCCCCTTGATGTAATCAATCATGTTGTCCCAATCTCCATGATGTTATCGACCCTGTAACCAATCGCATTGTCTTCCCCACCTTCCCAACTCTGTATTTACCAAATCTATAATGAAGGGTAGTAAGCCCTACCTCGAGGTCTCTGGTTATTAAGAGACCATAGATCCAATTTATTGGTTACTGCTAACCTCACCAATAAATTTATCATGATTATGCTTGGACCACTGTCTCTCAGTTTACCTTAATTTTCAAATGTTTAACAAAATATATTAGTCCTACCAGTGTGAAGTAATATATCATTTGGGGAGGAATTTTTCTTTCGTGGCATTGAAACACCATATTTGCAAAATCATAAGTTTTTCCAAGAGATCCATTACCTTAATAAGGTGACTAATTATGTTCTAATTTCTGATAACTTAATATATAGGTATAATTAAGCTCACTCTACATATTTAAGAATGAACTGTTAATTGAACACTAAACTATTCTATCTAGTTAGATACATTATATACTTCTAGGTTTAATCATTTGCTCTGTGGCCAGCACATGCTTGGTATATGATGGAAAAGCATGTTCATACTTCCTGATAGCAAGATCTTGTAGGATTTGGAATGTCATATGGAATGAATAACAGAAAGAAGAATTACAGATCATATTTTCACAAGATGGTCAATGTGGTATAGGGAAAAGACAGCCAGCCTCTGAGTGGGGAAAATCTGGGTTCAAGTCTCAGAACCGATACATTATTTAACCTCTCAGTATCTTTAGCAACTCTCTAAGATTCTAAAGTGTATTAAAATAGGAGCTCTGCATTTAAAGAGGAAGTTTTTCACTGACGGCGCCATATTCTAAGGAAATTTTAGGTTCAAACCAAAAAAAAAATCTTATTTTCATAGCAAGTTAGTTAGCAAGGTTTGTTTTCTGTGTGTGTGTGTGTGTGTGTGTGTGTGTTTAAAGAAAACATACAGCATAAAGACACCTACAAAACAAATATCAGTACTTATGTTTTTCTCTTCTTTTAATGTGACCACTAAATTCCATTCTAAAAATTACTCAGTATGGGGTTATAAAGCTTTATGGCTACAGATACCATAAACCACCATTATCTATTAAGGCTTGAAGCCAAACATAAACAACATCATTTGGTGATAAAATCATAGTTGTTGTTATTCAGTAGTTTTCAGTCACGTCTGACTCTTTGTTGACACCATTTGGGGTTTTCTTAGCAAAAGATACTGGCATGGTTTGCCATTTCCTTCTCCAGCTCATTTGACAACTGAGGAAACTGAGGCAAACAGGGTTAAGTGACTTGCCCAGGGTCACACAGCTAGTAAGTGTCTGAGGCTAGATCTGAACTCAGGAAGATAAGTCTTCCTGACTCCAGGTCCAGCACTCTCTCCACTGAGCCACCCAGTTGCCCCCAAAGCATAGAAAGGTCCACCTAAAAGGGAGACTTATACAAGTTACTTCTGTAGCAATACTAGGAAAAACAACCAAAACATATACAGAAAATACCTATGAACAAATTAACAAAATTAATTCCCTACTATTTGCCTTAAAGCACTTAATGCAACATAAATCTGGAAATTTGTTATTCAAGCACATCACAAAATCAAGGCAAAGCCCATGTAGGCAATAAAATGTGTCTCTTAACAAGAAAATATCTGGCAAACATAGAGTAATGACAAGAGCAAACTTACAGGAAGATTGGAAGTAAAGTGGAAAAAGCATTGGCTCTGGAATCAAAGGATCTGGGTTCAAATTCTGCCTCTGTCACTTACTATCTGTGTGATACTACGCAAGTTATTTCCCCTTGCTGGACCTCAGTTTCCTCATCTGTAAAATCAGGAGATTGGATGAGATAATATCTGAGATAGGTCCCTTCCAGCTCTAGATCTCTGATTCAATTAGAAAGTAAAAAGACTAAGGTGTGATTTTCTAGCAAGAGGAGGAGACATATAGGGAAATGTAAATGATATGAAAGTAAAAGATATCAATGACTTTTTTTTTGAGTGCAGTACCTCAGACAACACCACAAAAACAGTCAGTAGTTGATAGCCAACTCTGTCCCATGTTCAGACAACTCTCAATTCAACAAATAATTGTTAAGTGTCTACCATGTTCACAGGTTGTGTAAGTGCTGGGGTCACCAAAAACAGAAACAAAAAAGTTGCCCCAAAGAGAAGAGAAAATCCACCTCCCCCTTTGTTTGCAGAAGTGGGGATGAGAAGCCTGGCCTGCACACCCTGTCCACACTGGACAGATGTCCTGATTGGACAATCTTTCCCCTTCTTGCTTTGCTCTTTGTCACAAAGGATGGCTCTCTGGGAAAGAGAGGTGGTTCCATTTAAAAGTGGAGGCACCATGAAAATGAGGCTGTCATTGAGGTTTTCTTTTAAAAGAAAAAAATAACTCCTTTTCCCAAAGATATTTTGTTCTACTGGGGGACTACAACATCTATACTTAGGCAAAATACAAGACAAAACTGAGAAGAAAAGAATATAAGAAATCACCAGTCTATTCTTAACATATATGACATATGGCGTATCATCTTTTCCTCTCAATAGCTTTGTGAGATGGGCGGGAAAAGTATTATTTCCTCATTTTACAGATGAGGAGACTAAGGCTCAGTAATCAAACCATAAGGCCAGTATTCTCTCCACAAGGCAGTGTTGCAGTGGGATGTACAATGATGCATGAAATCTTAACAAGGAAGGTCATCATTGACTGGAGGAAACAGGGAAGCTTCCTAAAGGAGATGGTAATTAGGCTGGACTTTAAATGATAGGTAAGAATCAGTGTCTGTCATAGGTTTTTATCTGGAACTTAAAGGCAGCAGCATCTATAGGTCAAAGTTCACAACATTAACAAAGAAGGAGGAAATAATGTAGCTTTCAAATTGTACATAAAAAAAAATCTGGGGGCAGCTAGGTGGCGCAGTGGATAGAGCACTGGCCCTGGATTGAGGAGGACCTGAGTTCAAATCCGGCCTCGGACACATAACACTTACTAGCTGTGTGACTCTGGGCAAGTCGCTTAACCCCATTGCCCAGCCAAAAAAAAAAAATCTGGGCACAGAGAACAGAAGAAGGAGATCTATAATGAATGCATTTTAAAATCTCAATGTAACACAATGTAATTTAAGATAGCCAAGCAGGTCTCATTATGCTAAATTTTATATTTCCTATAGAATGGCACTATGATTTAAAAAAAAATATGAATACCTTCTATCTAACACTAAATACAAGAATTAAATTATTAAATACTTTGTAACAAAACTCTGACTTATACACAAATAGTAAATAATACTAAAATCTCAGAGACTTTAATCAATTTATTTAGTATCACAACAGTCTCCATTTTACTTTAATATTTTTTACCTCTACACCTGCTGAAGCATCAAATACAGCTACTGCACCATCCAATACTCTTAGACAGCGTTCAACTTCTAAAGTGAAGTCCACGTGACCTAAGGAAAAGATTAGAAATGAAATGTTTAAAGTGTAACAAAAATTAATAACAATCTGTACCTGATTAGAATTGGTGTACCTGGAGTATCAATGTATCAATTGTACTATACCTGGCGTATCAATTAGATTAACTCTACACCCCTTCCAATCAAATGTAACAGCAGCTGATTGAATGGTAATGCCTCTTTCTCGCTCTTGGGCCATGAAATCCGTCACTGTGTCCCCATCATCAACATCTACCCAGAAAAAAGACACATACATTAATTTAGTCAATAATTTTTGTTTTCTCATGACAAAATAGTTTAAGTTACTTTGGAAAACATATCAATAAACAATAATATGATGTATAGAGAAACAACTTCCAAGCCATGAAAACCTGGTTTAACTAATTAAATGGAGAAAAATTAACAGTTTCAACCACATACAATTAAAAAACTTCTGCATGAAGAAAATCAATTCAGCTACACTTTAAAATTATCAACTGGAAAAACACTTGCCTCAAACATTCTGCTAAAAATCTGATTCAAGGTAACTAGATGGCATAGTGGATAGAGTGGTGGGCTTGGAGTAAGGACAATCTGAGGTCATATCAAACCTCAGACACTAGCAGTCACTTACCACGTCTTCCTCAGTTTCTTCAACTGTGAAATGAGGATAACAATAACATCCACCTGCCACATAGGTTGCTGTGAGGATCAAATTAGGTAATCTTTGTAAAGTGCTTAGCACAGTCCCTGGCACATTTCTGCTGTTGTTGTTTAATCATTTTCAGTCGTGTCCGACTCTTTGTGACCCCATTTGGGGTTTTCTTGGCAAAGATACTAGAGTGGTTTGGCATTTCCTTCTCCAGTTCATTTTACAGATGAGGAAATAAGGCAAAAAAAGTTAACTGACTTGCCCAGGGTCACACAGCTATTAAGTGTTTGCACACAGATTTGAACTCAGATCCTCCTTATTCCAGGGCCATCACTCTCTCCACTACACCACCTCACTGTCTGCCTGGCACATAGTAAACACTTATTAAATGTTTGTTTCTTTCTCTTCCCATAATATGCATGATATAGATGGAATTGTTATGATTTCATAGACAGAGCTATTCCTCAACAGCTTCAGTGCTTAAAGAATATGTATGTTTTCAGAAAGAGAAACACAAAATATCAACCACCATGTGAAAAATTGTTGTTAACCACTAACAATAGGAGAGACACAAATTAAAACAACTTTGATGTTTTCTCTCACATTCATCAAATGGGCAGAGATGATAAAAGATAAAAACATTTAGTTTGTATTAACTGTTGGGCCACGAGAAGAAAGGCACAGTTAACACATTCTTGGTGCCAACTTATGCAGCATATTTGTCTGAGAAACTTAAAGAACTGAAGTACATGCCTGAGGTACCAAAAGCAATGGAAACACTGAAATATGGAGAAAGAATTACAAATTTTCATTCCTGGATTTTTTCTTTTGGACAAATATTACTCTAAATTCAGTATAATGTCAAGACTCTATAACCTAGAGAAAGGATAAAAATATATCAATACTTCAGCAAAATGACCATAAACTTATTAGTCTCACGGAAGGATGAAAGGCCATTTATTGCATTTCTTCATCAAAATACTTTCCGATACTATTTTCAATTTTATTTAAATTAATTGTGATGGGAAAACCATTCTCACCTCCCAAAGATCCTGTATATCCAGAATAATACAATATTCTCTCTGTGGTTGTGGTTTTGCCTGCATCAATATGAGCCATAATTCCAATGTTACGAATTCTGTTTAAAGAAAAAAAAATTTTAGACAACATACTAATTCATTTAAATGAGTAAACATAAGAATTAACTTAAAATAAGTGACTTGAATGCCATTAATGGAATTGCAAATAAGAAAATAACACAATTATATAGTGTTTCAACTTTTTAAAGCAGTGATGTATATTTAATCATGAAATGGTATGGTATTTTATGTTATTTGTATGATAGGGATGGCAAAACTTAGCTTAAAAAAAAAAAGAAAATATATCTCAAGGTGCCTTTATAACGTAAGTCCTAATTAGACAGAAATGATCATTAAAAAAACTGTTAAAATCTTGAAAACATGGCATGACTTCTACGCTATTAAAATTAAAGTATTGAGAGACAAACAGAAGGCAATCTGGATTTTCAGATACATATCCAAGCTTATTATTAGTCAGGCATATGAAATAGAAGTTGTAGCATTCTCTAAATTAACAAAGCATAAAGAAGAAGAAAAAAGCAGCCTCACAAATTAAAATTATTATAAAAGCGAATGAAGTCTATGAAATTACTTACTTAGCCATAGGAGGATTGATGATGGAGCGCAGAGATTTGATATCATTTTCTACTATACAAAAGAGGAAGGAAAAGGGCAAAATTAGAAGTTTTAATTTACATAAGAAACTTGAAAAAAAAATTTATAAGTCTAGATATTTCCAAATAAGCTTAAACCAATTAAAAACCAACTCACTCCAAGTTTTCAAGTAACTACAATTTCTTCTGCAACCAAAATGAAGAAAAACAAAAACATGTTTACCTCAGTAGTTCTTTAAAAAAAAAACAAAAAACTTCAATATGAAGAGATTTTACACCTACAGTCTTACAACTTTTACATATATACATGTATAGAACTGATGCAATTAAAAATGAAAATACTGAGTCACTAGAACTTGTACTAACTACATTTCCACTAAACTCTAGATAAAGTCTCATTATTTATGGTGAAAATTGATGCTGAAGAGCAGAAAGATCCTAGTGAGCAATCAGCATCTTCATGTGCTTTTCACCTTTAAACAACTGCCAAGCAACTCTACCTTTGGGGCAGACAAGCTAGTCTAGCTGAATCATCAATCATCCAGAGGGAAAGAACGAAGGCAGTTGGTGCTCCCCTCAGACCCTGAGCCCAAGAACCCTTGAAATAGCAGCACTACTGCGTCCCAGAGCACCAGCCCTGCTCCCAGCCCAGGCCCTGCAGCCACCTCAGAGCAGAAGCTGTCTTGTTTTTCTATTTATATCCTCATGGATTAGTCCAGTGCTCTGCACACAGTAAAAGCTTTTCATTCGTGCCTCCTAGGTTAATGCTAAAGGTATCACTGGAACAGGAACTGTAATAATTTGTTCCTTGAGAAACTTAGGTTGCTAGAAAAAGAAAAGCTGACCATGGTAACTTTATTTAGTGTTCATAATAACCTTTATTATTAAAGCAAATTAAAGCAAAACTCTAGTCAATTTACAAATTTATTTCATTGTAAATTTTTCTACAATTCACATTTTCCCTAAATTCCTAGGAAAACATGAGGGATTTTAATAAAAACAAAAAATGTTTTTACTGAATTTATTAAACACCTGACACTGAATGGGTTTGAGAATCCAAAGGATGCTGTAAAGCCCATATTCAGCATAGTTGAAATAAAGGAACCAAAATTAATTAAAGGACTACTGGCTGTATCCTGAACTAAAGATTTCATCCTCTGCTTCCATGCATTCCCACAAGCTATTTCCTTTATCTAGAGTGTGCTCAATCGTCTTTACTTATTAAAATGTCCATTTTCCTTCAAGGTTTTAGCTAAGGTGGCACCTCCTCTATGAAGTCTTCCCTGATTTCATCCCTCTTCCTGTCCCTCCCTTCTCCTCCTCCTCAGTTATTAGTGTCTTCTCACACTTTTATTATTTACTTATCTGGGTCCATTTTGTATCCCCCCAGCAGAAAATTTCTTGAGTATTGATGTTATTGTCTTTGAATGCCAGAGCCTGGCACAATACTATTTATATGTTGTTGTTGAGTCATTCCAGTTGTGTCCAACTCTTTGTGACCCCATTTGGGATTTTCTTGGTGAAGATACTGGAGTGGTTTGCCATTTCCTTATTCAGTACATTTTACAGATGAGGAAACTGAGGCAAACAGGGTGAAGTGACTTGCTTAGGTCACACAGCTACTATTCATATAGAAGGCATTTAATAAATGTTTGTTGAGTTGAATTATAACAGCTACTTAAATTTCCTTGGCATTAGTCATTCCCTCTGTCCAAGAGCTAAATGGTGTATTTCCCTCACATTTTCCCTGCATATAATAAAAACACACTACTATCATTACCTATAAGAGAACTAAAAGGTCTTGTACTAAGGTTCAAATACTTAATCATGAAAGTATAAGATAGAATTTAATAACAATACACGTACAAAGATATGGATATTTCAGCAAGTTCAATGTGACTGTTAACAAAAACCCAATGTGATCTCAAGTCTAAATTGTGTTGAACTTCTAGAAGTCATTTGTTCCATTCCTCTAGGTTTAGGTAGCAATACACCTAGGATTATGAAAAAAGAATATTTGCTTCATGAAATATTCATAAAACAAATATTCAAAAAATAATTTATAGCAATACTATATAAACTGTTTGCCATGAGAAAAGAAGTCACCCTTCCAAATTCTTTCTACAGTACAAATATGGTCTCGATACCTAAACCAGAGAAAGACAAAGCAGAAAAAGAAAATTACAGACCAACATCCCTAATGAACACTGATACAAAAACTTTAAATAAAACATTAACAAATAGGCTACAACAAAATACTAAACAGATTATACACTGTGATCAGGTTGGATTCATGCCATGAAAAAAGTAGGTTCAACATAAGGATGACTATAAAAAATAAGTCATGTTAATAAGATATGATTATATCAACAGATGTGAAAAGACTCAAACATGCATTTTTATTAGAAACACTAGGAAGTACAGGAACAAGTGGACCTATCTATTTAAATCAAAGAGCAAGTATTATATGTAGTGAAGAAACACTAAAGGAATAAAGCAAGAAAGTCTAATTTTACCAGTAATATTTAACACAATACTAGAAATGCTAGTTTAGTAACAAGACAAAAGAGAGAAATCCAGGCACTAAGCAAAGGCAAAGAGGAACAAAACTATTGCTTTTCATCAATATGACTTAAATTTGCTTATAAACCCTAAAGAGCCAACTAAAAATTAATTGACTGGGGCAGTTAGGTGGCGCAGTGGATAGAACTCTGGCCTTGGAGTCAGAAGGACCTGAGTTCAAATCTGATCTCAGACACTTGACACTTCCTAGCTGTGTGACCCTGGGCATGTCACTTAACCCCAACTGCCTTAACCAAAAAGCGAAAAAACAAAAAAAAATTTAATTGAAATCATGAATTAATAAATTTAACAAAGCTGTAGGATATAAAATAAAATCATATAAAGCATTAGCATTCCTGTATGTTACCAACAAAACTCAGTAGAAAGGGCTAGAAAGAGAAATGGTACTCAAAATATATGCACAAACAAATCTAATATTGTTAAAATTAGAAGATAAATAGGTAAATGGTAAAAAAAAATCTTTGCGGCAAGTTTCTCTGTACAAAGATATACCTAAGAATTATATGAATCCAACTAAAAGCACTCTGCAGAAATAGAGACCTAAGTAATTGAAGAAACATTAATTGCTCATGGATAGGCTGGGCAAATATAATAAAAATGACAAAATTATTATACTTAATAATTTACTTATTCAGTGCTGTACCAATCAAACAATCCAAGGAATATTTTATGGAGCTAGAAAAAAATAATGAAATTCATATGGAGGAAGAAAAGGGTAAGAATCTCAAGGGTGACAATGAAAAAACAAAAGGAGGAAGGAAGGAGTTCTCAAACTGTACTACAAAGCAGTAATCTTTAAAATGATTTTTGATGCACATTAAAAAGCAAAAGGAGTTGATTAATCAAACAGATCAGGTTCTAATAACAGATAACATAGAAAAGCAAACAAACAGCAGCACTTTGTGTTCCTCAATTACTGAGGAAAGGACTATTTGACAAAAACTACTGGGAAAACTGGACTACAAACTAGAAATTTAGATTTAAAGCAACACCTCATACCTCATACAAAAAAAAGATCTAAATCAGGCCTACACAACCTGTGGCCCGCCGGTTACTTACAGCACGCCAAAGGATTTTGGGGTGGCCCGCAAAAATTTTGGAGGAAAACATCCTTTGTATGTAGAGGAAATCCTTTGGTGTGCTGAAAGTAGGTTGTGCGGGTCTGATCTAAATCGATATTTGACCTAGATATAAAAGGTCATATCAGAAACAAATCAGATGAGTAAGGAAGAAATTATCTTTATGGACAAAGAAGAAGTTCATGTTTAAACAAGAGATAAGTTCATACAAGATAAAAGGGACAATTTTGATGATACAAAATTTAAAAGTTCTTGAAAAAATGAATTTAATGTTGTTAAAATTAGAAGGGAGAGAGGTAAAAGGGTGTGGGGGGAATCTTTGCTGCAAGTTTCTCTGATAAAGATCATAATCCAAGAAATATAAGGAACTGATTTAAATTTCTAAAACTAAGACTTACTCCCCAATAGATAAATGGTCAAAGGATAGGAACAGGAAATTTTCTTAGGAAGAAATCCAAACTATAAACAATAGCAATAGCTAAATTTATATAGTGCTTTCTATATGCCTTTCTATGTGCCTGTGATAAATGCTCTACAATTGTCTCATTTGATACAACAACCCTGAGCCAGAGGTGCTATTGTTATCCCTAATTTACAGATGAGAAGACAAGCAAATAGAAATTAAGGGCCTTGTCCAGGGTCACACAGCTAGTAAGCGTCTCAGCCCAAATCTGAGGTCTTCTTCCTACCACCAGACCTGCTATTCTATCCACTATGCCACCTAGCCACCCCTAAAACCATATAAGAAAGCTATATATCAATGATAATTAGAGAAATGCAAATTAAAGCAACTTTGAGGTTCCACCTCACAACCATCAGACTGGCAAAGATGACAAAAGAGGAAAAAGACACATCCAAAATTAGTTAACTGTTGATGGAGGTGTGAATCAGTCCAGTCATTCTGGCCTATACTCTGGAACTATATCCCCAAAATTGTTAAATTGTGCAATCCTTTTGATCTAGCTATACCAGTAGTAGGCCCATACCCCAGTGAAAGCAAAGAAAGAGTGAAAAGACTTAATTGCTACAAAAATATTTATAGCAACTCTTTTCATTGTAGCTAAAAAAACTGAAACTAAGGAGGTATCCTTGTACTAGGGAATAGATAAATTGTAATATAAATATAACAGAATATTATTGTGCAATAAAAGGTGAAATGGACAATTTCAGAGGAAAAAGAGCAGACCTCTATGAACTATTACAGAGCAAAGTGACCAGAACTAAGAGAATAATTTATACAATGACAACATTGTATAAATGTACATTTATATGACATAAATGTCATTGTACAATGACAACATAGAGAAAAACGACTCTGAAAGAGTTCAGAATTCTGATCAATGAAATGACAAACCAGAAGTCCAGAAGTCTGAAGAGGAAAACATACCATTTACCTCTTGACAAAGAGATGATAAACTTAAAATGTATAAATAACTTAAAATGTATAAAGAGAAGTATGTTTTGGGGCATGGCCAACATGGAAATTTGTTTTCTTGGGTTATGTATGTTTTGGATAAAGGCTTTATTTTATTTTGTGATTTTTTTTTTTTTTGGTTGTTAATCAACTGGCAAGGAGTGGGTTCTGTGGGATAGACATAAAAGCATGTAAAAAAATTTTTTTAAAAAAACTTGAGAGTTTTAATATAAAACTTAAAAGAACTTAAAAAGACATTTTAACTGACCGCAAGTTCAATGTAATGTTAAAAATCCTAATGCAATCTTAACATTGCAATAATATTAGTATAGTCTCCAACTACTACAAGTCATTTACTCTATTCCTTTAGGTTTAAGTAGCAGTATACCAGAGATAGTCATTTGTTTTAAGGAAAAGAAGTTAATATTTTACAGTACAACTACCCACTCAGTAGTCAGAAATCTATGAACAGATCTCAAGGTCTTATTTGGTTACATTTACATCAGTTAACTCTTTGGATTTCTCTGAGATTCCTGGCAGAGGAGAACACAGCTTCCATCCTGCTGGCTCCTTCCCCTATTCTTCTTAAGGACTTTTCTGTTTGCCCTTACCATCCCTGTGACCTCAAGGCATGGGACAAAAGAAAAATACCTCTTGTAAGAACAAAGATCTCATTTTTTTGCAATACATACATGAAACAATTCTCTCAGAACACAGAATCTCTCAGACTTTGAGGCCCTCAGAGGGTCACTCTGAACCTGAACTTGAGCAGGATTGTGTATTTCAACGTCCACAAACATTTATGGACTACCTGTCATATGAAGCCACTCTGTTAGATGGTAAGGGAGATACAATGGCTAAGATAAAATGTAATACCTGCTCTCAAGGACTTCACAAGGGTAGAAGGGAAATAAAAGAAGACAGAAAAAATTTAAGGCAAATTGAGATGTAACCAAAACCTATACCTGGTAAGGAACTATAATTTCTTCTGAGAGAAGCTTGAGATATGAATCCCTTTAAAATCACTCTTGTTCTATGGGAACACACGTGCTGTGAAGAAAAAGAAAAATGAGAAGTTAGTTTTACTAAAACACACCTAAAAAAAAGCAAACTTCCTTTCATATTGTTATTTTCCTGATTTGCATTATGTCCTTTGTCTGGGGACAATCTGGTCCTTTACATTTCTGTTAAATCCTATAATAAAGGACTCCTAACCTTTCTGGAACTGACAACCTAAAATCACTACAAGTGAGGCTTCAGTAGAAGATAAATTTCACATTGTCTTCTAAGGCGACTTGGGGAGGGAGGGAAAGGAAATAAATTAGAAAGGTAAATGGATGTTCTTTCCCAAATACATCCTGGGGAGGATAATTTAGTTTTGTTTTGCTTGTTTTGGGTGTTTTTTTGGGGGGGTGCAGAGGTGGGGTTGGACTGGCTATAGCTATGGTCAACAGATTCCTGGGAATCCCTGGTAATGAAGAAAATATCATCACAAACTTCTGTTAGGGCCTACAGCATCCCAGCCACCTACAACAGAGGTATAAAACTGGTCAAAGTCCTTCTGAACCAGATTAAAATGTAATTGAAATGTTTAACAAAATAAAAAATACAATGCAACACAGATAATGTTAATTTGTGGTTTTCTAAGTCAACGGCAGGGCTGCAGGATCTATTTTTAAGTTTGATACCACTGCCCTACAGCATTAATTGCATTTTTTTTCTGTCCCAAGACTTCAAAAATGCCTATTTAAAGCTTGTCAGCATATTTCATGCAATTTTAGTTAATGTTTAATGACATATTTGTACCATACCTTCCCTTTTCTAACATATCTCTACATCTTCTATACGATTTCTATTTAAAGTCATAAAATCATAGAGCTAGAAGGGCTCTAAGAGATCATTTAGTACAAATCCTTCATGTCAACAGATGAGGAAACTGAAGATCAAAGAGGTTAAGGGACTTGTGAGCCCTAGTAAATATCTGACAAGAAAATGTGTCTGGAACGCATCCTATTCATTAATGGGATTTTGCAAAATCCTGCGTTTTTGTGAATGGATCAGGACCAAAGCTATTTGTTAAAAAAAAAAAAAAAAATTCTGCAGCAATGAAGTTGGCAGATTGTTCTAAGAAGACAGTCTGTCACCTGAAAAGAAATTCAAGAATGAACTTCCTTTTATAGAATGAATTCTTACCACACAAAGGAAAAAAACCTCTTTCTCAGGGCAGGAGGAAAGTAAAGCCTAGGTTAAGTGACTTGTTCCAGGTCACTGGTAGTAAGTAGCAGAGACAGGTTTTGGATCCACAGCCAATTAATGCAGAGGACTCTGAACCTGAAGTCAGAAGACTTGGCTCCAAATTCTTCCTTTTTTGCTTGTGGTGTGATCTTAGATTAAGTTATTTAATCTCTCTGGGACTCAGTTTCCTTCTCTGTAAATGAGGGTCTCATGGCCCCTCAGATGCCTTTTTCAGTTCTAAATCTACAACTCAATGACTAATTTAAAAAGGAAATGCTGATTAAGACTTTTAACTAATTGTTACCTCAGGGAGGAGAGGAACATTTTTCAGAATGTACTGATGACTTTAGGGAAGACAGGTTACAGAAAACTGGGGAGATTTTGAAATAGATAACTCAGCAAACATATAACTAGTTTCTGGGTTTAAAAAATAGTTTAACTGGTAGAAAGTTAGAACATTCACTGAATGCTAACACAGCCTGTATATCTAACCAAGGGTCACCAATTATTCCCAAATAAGATGCTTCCTCTATGCAGAAAAACTTATGTCCCAATAGGGGGAGCAAATCAAGTAAGAGCCTAGCTCAACACTAACACATGTCACACAATTACAATTTCTGTGTTCCACAAAAGTATGATTTTGCCATGTATGTCTATTTTGGTTATTTTAGTAAATTTTTAAAATTAACCTAACTTTGCTTTGTAACGTTTTTATATGATAGTCTTTTAAGTTATTTGGGGTACAATAAAATGAGGTTTAGGGATATGTGTGTATGTATGTGTATGTATATCTATATCTATTTATCTAAACAGCCATTACATGAGTAATTCTGGTCCAAGTACTAAATTTTATATACATATCACTTAACTTCTCTGGTTCTCAGTTCTTCATCAATAAAACAAGGAGTTGGTCTAGATGGCCTCTAAGGTCCCTTTCCAGCTCTAAATCTATGATGCTATGTAGACATTTAAAAACAAATATTAGAATGATAAAAACTTACATTAATATGCCAACTGGATGCTTTCTGTTGATTCACTATAAATTTCCTTAATTTTGTCAATATCATGGTCCTATTTATTCACTGAAAGAAAAAGAACACAGTGACAGAATTAAATTTTAATTCTTAAATTGAGGAATTTAAGTATTTTGCTGGATAAATGTGGAAGGTAATTTTTCTTAACTTTCTTAAGAAAAATTTAATAAATTAGTTAGAAAATAAAAAATTTACCTAAAAATGAGAAAACACATATTTGTTTCTCAGGTTTAACATTTTCCCCTCATCCCTCAAAATTAAATACTTCATTTGAAACAAAATGTTAAAAGTAAAGACTGGTGCTCTAACCAAAGCATCGTAAAATAATTTAAGCAGCAGAAAAAATGATATCTAAGATATTCATGAAAATGTCAGTATTCCACATACAGTTTTAGTTTCTCTCAAGCAGAGTAAGTAGATTGGTTTCTATCCTTTAGAACCTAATTACTTCCCTATCTCTAGCTGAAGTGCCATAACAGGAAACTGATAAATAGGATTCAAATGTTATATATGAATACGGAAAAAAAAGCAACAACAGGAAAAAAAGTCATATATTTGTTAACATTTTTTCCCTTTTCTTGGGCAATATGCTACCTAACAAGAGTTACCAAAGTCCTCTACACCCGAGCTAGCGCCTTCTATGGTAGGCAGCACCAAGCATACATCCAAGTGCTTTTTCTCAACCCACATCCTTCTTAACCTTTCCATGGCACCTAACACCTCCTCCAGGATTCTCTGTCCTACATGTATTTTTGTGATACTGCTTCTTCCTGATTCTCTTCCACTCAGTCTGACACTCCTTCTTATGCTGAATAATCATCCATGTCCTGCTCCCTGATTGACTTAACATCACTCCCCTTTCTATATTCTGTTCCCTTCAAACTCACCTATGACCTGTTCCTCTTACTCAACATTACTCTTTTTGCCCCTGTATGGGTTGTCTCCCGTACCTGGAATACTGTGCTTCCTAACTTCTGCCTCTTGGAATCCATAACTCCTTTTAAAGTTCAGCTCAAATAACACAAAGTCTTTCCCAATTTCCTAGGTTCTTGGTGCTCTCCCCTTCTCCAAATTTACTTTGCATATATTTTGTATCGATCTAAATTACTGCATTCCTCACTAACGGGTAAGTTCCCTGAAGGCAGAAAATGTGTTTCTTTGTTTTCTACCTTTTTATCCACTTATATTTAGACTTGTAAAACAGAACTAAATAAAATTATATTGCAATACACTTCAAATAACACACTGGAAATCAGCTAGACCACAGTTTCTGAAATTTTAGAAGAGAAAAAATAGACAAGCCCAAATGTACATTAACAATTGGTGTAAATAAAACCAGGGGGATTTGTAGCATGAATGATCTCCTGGCTAGAGTTAAATCATTTTTTTCCTGATGTGCCGCTAGAGGGCACTTTTACATCATTACAGCCTGTATTTTCCACTCTGGCCCTAAAGATAATGTACTCTGAAAAACATTTACTTTCCTATGGACCAGATCCACTGTTTATTTTTATATTCGAATTCCAAATCTGCCTCCTAACCGAATGCCTTTCTGTCGTCTAAAAGCAGTAATAATAGATACATTCGAATGATTTTCAGTGACCTCGGCACTTAAGAGTCCTAATTCCCCCTACACTGCTCTGAAATTGAGCACAGCCTGCTCAAGTTCATTCATTCACGGTCAGTCTACAAACATTTATTAAGGGCCATTCAGAGTGGAAAATACAGGCTGTAATGATATAAAAGTGCCCTGTAGCGGCCCGAAGTAAGCAGAGCACATCAGGAAAAAAAATGATTTAACTCCGGCCGGATCATTCATGCTACAAATGTCTCTGGTTTTATTCACACCAATTCTTAATGTACATTTGGGCTTGTCTACTTATTTTTCTCCTCAAATTTCAGAAACTATGGTCTAGCTGGTTTCCAGTGTGTTACTTGAAGTGTATTGCAACATAATTTAATTTAGATCTGTTTTACAAGTCTAAAGCATTGAGTGCTGGGGCAGAGGAAGGGCTCGGACCGGAGACGGTCCCCGGATACCTGTCCTCAGGGACCCTACAATCTCGGAGTGGTCAGAAAAGCAAACTCCGGGAATCCATCGCAAAGCCCTTCGTCCTCGTCAGGACCCACCTGAGGGACAGCTGCCCCCACGGAGCGGACGCTCGGCTGGTCTGGGGGTCGGTCTACGGCTTCTGCAAAACCACCTCTAAGGCGTCAGCCTCCGCCATCAGCTCACTCCTACTCGAGGCACTAGCCGGAAGTCAGTACTTTCCGCCTCCGGCCGCAGGAGTGCAACAGCCAAATGCAGCCTCCGGTGACTTCCGCCCGGCCCTCCTCTGGTGGGAAGCGGTAAGCACTGGGAAAGAGAAGACGGAGCGAAGCGGAACGGAAGTTCCGACACCTCTGGTTGAGTCCGGGAATTTTAAAGAGAGACCCTTTTTCTTTTCCGGCGGCTGGGGAGTCGGTCGGTAACTGCTGAGGGTCCGAAGTTTGGAAGCGTTTTCGGCAGCTCTTCGACGGGCCCCCAGCCGTCAACATGGTGAGATGGTCGGGCCACTTAGACGGGTCTAAGGATCAGGGAGAGCTCCCGACACCGGTCGCCCAGGGAGGCGTGGTGGGGAGTGGAGACCCCCGGGTGTCAGGCCCGACGGGGCCGCGGAGTAAGCCGTGTTTACCCGGAAATGGGGGAGGGCGGGGGAGGAGGTCCGGCGGCCACGTGTTCCTTACCCCCGGAACCTCCCCCGGTGTCTTTGGAGTCCTAGAGTTGGTCAGTCTCCAGTCAGTCAGACCAAAGGCATTTATTAAACTCTTCATTTGTTTCTGGCACAGTGCCCGGCTCTGGGGAGGCAAAGACAAGAGTGAGATATGTAATCCCTGCCCTCGGGGAGCTTACGGCCGCGGGGCAGGGATGTATACAGACACATACAAGACCTGGACGAAACAAAATAAAAGGATTTGCTTAGTTGGGGCTTCCTGGGAGGGGGCACTTGGGTTGAGCCTGAAGGGAGCCAAGGGTTCCAAGAAGCAGAGATGAAGGAGGGCCCGGGCCTGTCTAAATGCTCGGAGGCTGGAATATGCAATACATTGATTAAAAGAATGTGGAACCACTCAGCAAAAGTCGTCTGGAGCCAGATTGTTATGGAGTTTGAATGTCAAACAGGGTGTTTTATATTTTATCCCAAAAGCGGATAGAAATCACTGGAGCTTCTTGAGCAGATGAGCCATGGTCAGACCTCTGTTTTGGGAATATTAATTTGGCAGCTGTGTGAGGAATGATTGTACAGGGGAGAGGCTGGATAAAGAACACTTAGTTTAAGGGAAAAGGTGACGGTGGTTGTAAAAAAAAAAAAAAAAAAAAATGAGGAGACTGATGCCAGAGATGTTCTTGCTGACGGTGTCAAATCTCCATTCACACTCACTGGGCTAGGTAATTCACTCCAAGTGACCTACTAGCCTTATTCTCATGAAGCAAGCCTTTGGTAACTGCATCAGAATGATTCTTGGAAGCTCAAAATGCAAGAGCAGTTTTTCTTTAAATGAAAAGTAAAAGATACAAGGGAAGCATTTCTCTTCCTGTAGTTTTCCATTTGAATCATGGCAGTTTATTAACTTAACTGTTGAAAATCTCTCCTACCCATAAAATGAGTTTATTTTAATCTCTCTGAATCAGTATGGCATTTGCCAATTACTTATGATGAACAGATAGTATGTTAAGGGATTCCCCGCAACTATCCTCCTATGTAAAAAATAATTCATTTTGTCTTAGAGCAGGCATATGTGGATTTAAATACTATGATTACCTTGCATGTATGAATAATCACTTTCAGCTAGGGTGGATATTCTCATAGCTTAGGGTCCATATAAAAGAAAGCAATAATTTGGGAAGTTGTTCTTTCAGTAGGTGCTTTTAAAAGTATTTTATGCCTTCTGTGCGTTACAGCCACAGAACGAATACATAGAGTTACACCGAAAACGGTATGGCTACCGCTTGGATTATCATGAGAAAAAGAGAAAGAAGGAAAGCCGAGAGGCTCATGAACGTTCAAAGAAAGCAAAGAAAATGATTGGTCTAAAGGCCAAACTCTACCATAAACAGCGTCATGCTGAGAAGATTCAGATGAAAAAGACGTGAGTATATTCTATTTATTTGCTGTATTTGTAATTACCATGTATTGGATTAACTTTTGTAGGAATTATTTGGGGTAATTTTTTTCTGGACTTTTTATGTAGTATCAAGATGCATGAAAAGAGAAATACCAAGCGAAAGAATGATGAAAAAACTCCCCAGGGAGCAGTGCCTGCATATCTGCTGGACAGAGAGGGACAATCCCGAGCCAAAGTTCTTTCCAACATGATTAAACAGAAACGAAAAGAAAAAGCTGTAAGTGATAGTTCTTTCTTTCTTTCTTTCTTTCTTTCTTCCTTCTTTCTTTTTGGCTATGTTTAAATGGTTTCTTTTATGAGAAATATTCATATCTGGTTTCATCAAAATTCATAAGGAATGTTTTGTAGTTTTTCAGATTTATTTGAAACAAAAGGGTTAGTTAGAAGTGTCCAATCTTTTCTTGAAGGATTCATGGTTCTGTTGTTATTCCTACCCCTGTGCAGATAGACAGTCTTTGAGAGTTTGGATGGCCAAAAGATTGAGCAACTTATGGCCAACTTGGTAGTGAGGTTGTCCAGTTTTTGATAGACTAGTCCTTAGTTGACAGAAAATAGGTGACATTCTACTTCTAGAACTGCAGTTGAAGCCATTCCATCTTGGTAAAAATGTGTACTTTTGGGGAGGTAAGAGTATATTAACAGAGAAAACCAGTGAATAAATGACATGGAATGAATTGTAGGGTTCGGTTTTGTTGGGGGGGTGGGGAAGTTGGACGTGAAAAACTGGATATAGTCCTTATCCACAGGCAGTTTGCAATATTATTAGAGAGATAATACAAAACCATGAATCAGTTAAATTATAATACAAGTTGACAAGCTTTGAATAATTAAATATTGGCCATGGGGTGAGGTACAGGAAGAATAAGAATATAAAAGTATTAAATAAGGTCTCTGTATTCACGGCACTTAGATTTTAGTAAGACTATAAGTTCTGTTGAATGGTACAGATAATAAGGGTAGGAGTTTAGAATATATAAAATTAGGTCTTTATGTAATTTGTCTCACCATGTACAAAATTTGCAATGAAATAAGCATTAGCTTTAGTGATTCTTGATACTACATATATTGCTATGTTTTTAAAGTTAGTGTATGTTGTTAGTTCCTTCACAGAATTTCATATGAGGGAAAATAAATCTAGTAAAACTTCTGTCATTTCAGTGATGTCATGCAATAAACCATTAGTGATGGTGTCATATTTTAAGAGGTGGCTACTCTCTTAGACTCATCCTTTCAGTATTAGACAATGATATAATACCCCAGCACAATCTCCTATATGCTGAGCTCTGTCCTAGGTGCTAAAATACAAAAATAAATGTGAGGGCAGGAGGTGGGGATACAAAACTTAAGAAAATAAAATATAAGTACATAAGAGGTACAAATAACAGGCTACGTAAGATCCAACGAAAGAAAGAGCATCTCTAATTGAGAGATCTGGGAAGGTTTAATGAACAAGGTGGTATTTTACCTTGGAGAGGTTTCAGCTGGTAGATGGATAGAGGCAAGATAAATAATAAAAAGATTTGTTCTGTAAAACTTGGACTCAGTCAAAAGGTCGTATCCAAAGACCTCATGGGCCGCAGGTTCCCCACCCCTGTCATGGAGGCAAGAAGATATGGGCATGTTAGGTGAACAGTGAGTAGTTTACTTTTACTTAAGTATAGAGCTTGAAGTGCGGTATGGTGTGGGATTAGGGTGGTATCAGATTGTGAAAAATCTTCAATACCATGCTAAGGACTTTGGGCTTGATTTGGTAGGCAATCAGAAACCACTGAAGGGTTATTGGAAACCATTACTTATCAGTTCAGTTTGCTATTTCCTGCCACCACCAATAATAAAACCTGCAAGGGTCTTAAGGAGATCAGACTTTTAATCAAGAATTCCATACCCTGTTTTTCTATATAGATTCTATACAGAATCTATACAGATTCGAAAAAGCAACTCTTTCTACTGGACTTTCTGCTTCTGTGCTTTACTAGCCATGTGACTTTTGTCTAAGTCATTTAACTTTTGAGTCTCATTTTCCTCATCTGTAAATGGGAGTAATAAATGTATTACCTGCCTCACAGAGTAATGAATAAGTGTATAAAAAGTGCTTTGTAAACCCCAACCGACTGTGTAAACCCGAGTTATTTTTATTAGCTTTTGGTTCAAAAGTCTCCACATTTTGCTACCAACACCATACGTTAACAGTGGTTTGTATGTATATTTTTAGGGTAAATGGGAAGTGCCCTTGCCAAAAGTTCGTGCCCAAGGAGAAACAGAAGTGTTAAAGGTTATTCGAACAGGAAAGAGAAAAAAGAAGGCTTGGAAGAGAATGGTTACTAAAGTGTGTTTTGTTGGGGATGGCTTTACACGAAAACCACCGAAATATGAAAGATTTATTAGGCCAATGGTAAGTCATTTGCAAGTATTTGCTGGTTCAAAGAGTGATGCCGGTCCTTTGGGTCTGTATGAAGTAAGTTTAAAAAAATGCAACACAGAAAAAAAAAGATTAAGTTAAAGAAGATAATTTTTTTCCTCAGTATTTTTTAATTTCTTTGTCTTTAGTGGCCCTCAGAAGGGGGCAAAATCTTGTTTGAATTAATAAAAGTCATAGTTCTATAATTTGAATTATTTAGTAGTTGAACATTTCCAGTGATCTATTTGTAACTTAATATGCTACATTAGCATTATTATTTTCTACATATTGGCTTCTTGAACTCTGCAAATTAGTCTCCTGAAATTGATCACTATTAAAATTCTAAATTACTCTTTCAGAAAAGGTTTTTAAGGTAGTAACAGAAATAAGACTTTTGTAAACTTAACATGTAATTCTTGAAAACATGTTAAGATTTAGTAATATAAATAAAGATTTAAGTTTCTATTCTTTTAAAAAATACTGAGGAGGTTGATGATTTATTATTATTATTACTGTAATATTATTATTGTAATCTACATTTTTAGCCTAATTTTCCCCATCATAAATAATAAATAATAGCCAGGCAGTTTGGTGAGGCTGACTATCAAATGGACTGTTGCATAATTATTTTACTAGATAGCTGCAAAGATGACAAAAGCATTTCACCTTATGCTGTTGTATACCTACTAGGCTACTGCCCCTTCCAGACATGTTTACAGGACAAAAGGCAAAGGGCAAGAGTGATTCCTATCTCTTAAATGTTCAGTAGAGAATATTTGGCTGATATCTGTTAGTATTTAGAAGAGAGAAAAGTACATTCTAACTATAGATGCTGATGATATTATGGATTTGTTATCTTCTTAAACTAACTCATAGATTTTCATTTGATGAAATTTTTTAGCAAATTATTGGCAGTTTAATATGTCTAAGACAAAAGATAAACTTTTCAGTAGGGGCAATTTTGTGAGCAGAACATGCTCTTTATTTAATTGAGTTTTATTACCTCCATAATCTTTGACTACACAAGTGTTGCAAAAATAATTTAGGTAGTTGGAAATTAGCTATTGTTTTCATTTTTAACAGGGTTTACGTTTTAAGAAGGCTCATGTAACTCACCCCGAACTTAAAGCCACTTTTTGCCTACCCATACTTGGTGTGAAGAAGAATCCCTCCTCCCCACTATATACAACTTTGGGTGTTATTACCAAAGGGACTGTCATTGAAGTGAATGTGAGTGAGCTGGGCCTTGTGACACAAGGAGGCAAAGTTATCTGGGGTAAGTAGGATTCACAGTACTGATAACTGCTAGTAATCTGTGGTTTGAAAATAAGCACATAAGATGACATTTAAAAGAAGCAGCTAGTATATAATTTTTTTTTTTAGTGCTCACTGGAGTGGATTTGATTTTTATCAAATTTATATCACATCCATGAGGAAAACTAATAAATTCCTTTTTTTACAAAAATTATATTTGTACTCTAAACTCACAGCTCAGCAGTAAGTTTCTTGTTTTATTTATTTATTTTTTTAAAGATTAGTATTGCAGCTACATCAGATTTTACCAAGGTAAATTGTCAAATTTTGTCAAAAATAGGGACAGCTAGGTGGCACAGTGGATAGACCACTGGCCCTCAGGAGGACCTGAGTTCAAATCCAGCCTCAGACACATAACACTGTGTGACCCCGGGCAAGTCATTTAACCCCATTGCCTAGCCAAATGAATAAATGAATGAATGAATGAATGAATGAATGAATGAATGAATGAATGAATGAATGAATGGAATGAATTTGTCAAAAGTAAAACATTTTACCCTAGTTCAAAAAAGTTTGTGATTAAATGTTTTTTAAACAAGTACTTTAGCATGAACAAGTATATGTGATTAACTCTCTTATTTAATCACATATATAACTAAACTTTCTACCAAGTCAACATGGAAAATTGAAATACTGTGACATACCTAAATCAATATTCCTTTGTCTTGTTTGTTAACAGAGACCTGGGAAGGTCTGTGTTTACTCTTCACTCAGAACCCATATCATTTCTAAATTAGTCCAAGAAGCATATTCTTTTTACACTTACTGAAGCTATTGTAATATAAAGCTTTGTGCTCAAATGTTTTGTAACTAAAAAGGCATCATGGTGAAGTAGAAAGTACAGAAACAGGAGTTGGGAGGTCTGAATTTGAACCTTGATTCGATAGAAAAGTCGGTTTTTGAGCTTCACTTCCTTAATCTACAAAATGGGGATATTTTTACCATGTATCTTGCAGGGTTGTGAGGAGAGCATAAATGTGACTTACATTTCATTATATCTTAAATCTTAACATTTAGATAGATCTGTGATTTTGTTGAATTATTTGTTGAATATTCCCTCTAATGATGCCGGCCTGCCCATTCTGTGGTATTCATATCCATTTACTACTAGCCATAAAGCGCTCCAATATTCTAGGGAGTTCAAGGGTGGGGAGTGTTCCTCTGGATCTCTTGATTTCAGTGGGTATGAATTGAAGACACAGGCTATCAATTGGTTATTCTTTGTTCTTAACTGTATGACCCACTCATTTTCTCTTCTCATATATCTCTCTCATATCCTTGGCAAGATGGATACTTTGTAACACATTGAAACTGGTTGACATCCATGAGTAGTCTCTTTGGGTAACTCACAACTATTCTTTAGGATATGGTATTCCATTGTTGATAGTCATAACATTGGATAAATAGTTTCTTTGTGTGGTTTTTTTTCCAATGGGGCCTTTGTTTCAGATTAGCATACAATTTAAAAAAAACCTCTTCCAGAAACATTTCTCTCTTTAGAGTGCCTGACACATAGTTAGCATGAATTGACACTTTTTAATTCATTCTTTAAAGCTGACTTATGCTCTTTTATTAACTTGTTTGTAGGTGATTGCTATTTTTAAATAGTTTACATAATTTTTGAAGCTTAAGTTCATGCCCTATTTTACATTTAGAGATTTGATTATATCTCCATTTGAACACTTTGAATAGCTTTTGAATAGTTTTGAAGAGCTTTTATGTCACAAACTAAAGTTAGTGATTTATTAGGTAATACTAATTATGCCTCAATTTTTTTTTAAAGGAAAATATGCACAGGTTACCAACAATCCAGAAAATGATGGATGCATCAATGCAGTCTTGCTTGTTTGATTGACTGATTGAATGAAGATTCTACAATATATCAAGAAAACCACAACAGTTACTACATTGAACAGTCACAAAACAAAACCAAAGACACAATTCTACATATTGGAAAAGAGATGAGACACTTTTCTTACTCTTTTGACACTTTTTCCTGTTTTGGAGTGGCAATAAAAAAAGCTTGTAGTTACTCTGACTACTGAATGCATTGAAATCCTCTCTCAGGATCAAGAAGTAGTACATTATTTGTCTCCATTTTGTTAAAAGTGTTTTTCTGACCACTTAAGACTCAGGTAAGAGTAAGGCTAACAAAAGGCATTAGGTCAATCTAAATCAATGAATGATTGGGGAGAACAAGAGCTTAGTTCAAATTAAATTGATATTAATTTTTTGTACCTTATATAAAGTCTGACTTAAAAGATAGTTGAAAGGATGAAAATTAAAAGTGACCAGATAGCTTTTTATCTGGTTTGCAAACCATGTCACTAATTATAAGGAAAAGGGACAGAAACTGGGTTAGGCTGTCAGTGAGCTTACAAAAATTCATCCATACTACTAGAAGAAAACTTCACAGGACTAAAGACAGTGCAATTACTGTTAATTCTTTTCATTTTATTAATTCATTGCTTTGCCAGAGTAACCTGGAGGCCATTACCCTCAGAAACAACTAGAACACTGAAGCTTTAGTGTATTATCAATAATTAAATGTTTTATAAAAGCTTACATTTATAATACATTAATTCACATGCTGTCTACAACTCCAGTGGGGTGGAAGTGGCTATGAGTTCTTGAAAACTACTCCTTCAGAGCAAGCTCTGACAAGTTCTTCTGTGCCGGAAAGGATAGGTACTATCTAAGGGAGAGACTGTCTCCAATTGAAGGACCAGCCAAACTGAGTGAGTTAAAGCTCATCACCAGAAGGTGGCTGTTAACATTATTTGCCCATGGCAGCCTATTAGAGCCTTTCAGTTCTGCAGTGGTAGAGTTGGGGAAAGGAGAGGAAGAAGCTAAGACCATCACACCATCTATCCACAACGTCCACTGACCACGCTGACATGCTAAATGGATGTCCCAAGTCATAGTAATCTTCACTTTGTGGCTATCAATTAAAGTAGTGAACAAAAAGGAAGCTGCAGCTAAGAATAACAAGTAAATGAGTTGGATTCATTGTTCAACAGCAACAAGAGAAATTTTATGGGATTGTTGGTCATCTTGTGTAAGAGAACTTAGAATGAATACTTGTAAAAGACGGAAGCTAAATGCAGTTTTTACACCAAGATTTGTGGCAGATGAAGAGGCAGCGAAATGATATAATTTGTCGAATCCCTACAAATTAATTAAATCAATGTTTACTTTAAGCAGTGAGGTCTTTTAGTCTCTGAAACTTTTAGCCAGTTGCATGAGGATGAAGATATGACCTGTGGTAGGATAACATTTGTGCAAGCTGGCTTATTCTCTTCTGATCTATTTGTCGAGGATGCTCTTGATATGTATGTAAATCTAAGGTTTTGTTTGTTCTTTTTTTTGTTTTTTTTTAAATGAAAGAGTAGGCATATGTGTAGGTGATACTCTATTCCATTTTTTTGGGTAGCAATAGCCATAATTTATTCCAGGCATTTCATATTCTCCCCCATTAGAATATCATTCAGGACCAGTTTAGGTTCCTATTCAAGCAAATGAGACAGCTATAGGTGATTCAGCAGTTTAAGAAAAGGAGATTTGCTTAATCCTAAAATAGAAGAGTATTCCACAGTACTTAGCAACAGCATTTAGTGAATGAGGTGAAACCTGTGGTCCTACAGGGCAAGGTATGGTGACAACTAACCACAGTCTAAATGGGTCTGGCTCCACTTTCAGGTTGATGGGCTTTTTTATGCCCTAAGGTGACTTGGAAACCTCAGGAATGCGACCAGAGGCTACCTTGGCCCCAGTAATAGCTTTGTGGCCTTTTAGGGAAAAGCTAGGGGGAAGGAAGAAAATAAGGACACCTTAGTCCTTTGACAGGAAAGATTGAAGAGACGAGAGACAGAGACAGAGAGAGAGAGAGAGCACAAAAATCCTGACGGGAGAATAAGTAGGATGAGAGGGCAGTCAACATTGTCAAATGCTGCAGAAAGGTTGAAAAGAACTGAAAAACGACCAAAATCATCTGCAACTTTTGTGAGGACAGAGTAAAGGTTTGAAAAATAACAAGAAGAGGCATAGAGTATTGATAGTTTTTACTTTCTTTAATGTGTACTTTTTTCTTGAAATACACTTTGTTAATGCCTTTGATCTTTAAATAAATCATTTCCCACCCCCAACTCCTCAGATGGGACCCCTTGTGATAAAGAAAAACAATAAAGCAAAAAACATCCAGTATAGGCACCTTGACTGGCAGTGCACATCTCTCCCTTTTCACAGAGGTGATGGACCATGAATGTACAATATATGGTCAAGCACAATTAATGAGCTGATTGAATTTTCTGAAAAAATTTTACCCTCTTTTCTAAAAAAATTGTTACAACAACAATTTACTAGGTGATAGATGAAGGAGGGATATATTTAGAAATGAAGTTACATAAAAATGAGATCTAATTGAAAACTTTTTAATAAAGTGTATTATTGTTAAGTTAAAAGGATGTTATTCTATGGTCTCTCTGGAACCTTGGGACTCCTTCCAAAAAGATGCACATGAAATATCAACAGAGGGAATAAACAGTTCCATAAAATTATTAGATATTCAGTTATGTCAAGCAAGATGCTTAAGAAGGAGAAAATGTCTCCCTACTCAAATTATACCTCCGAAAAGTAGGACGAGGGCTATGATTTTGCAGCAATCAATAGGACAATTTATATAATGATGACAATATGAGGACAGGCAGCTTCGAAAGAACTCTGATCTATACAATGACCAACCACAATCTCAGAAGACCAGTGATGAAAACAGGCTACCCACCTTCTGACAGTGAGGTGATGATCTCAAGTTGTAAAATGAGACAAAGAAACGAGTCATTTTTGGACCTGGCCAATAGGAGAATTTGTTTTGCTTTACTAGGCATATTTTAAACAAAAGTTTTGCTTCCCTCTTCCCCCCCCTAGTAAAGTAGGGGGAGAGGGTGGGAAGTGAGGATGAAGAAAAAAATCAATGTTTAAATTAAATTTTAAAAACTGATTTTGCAGGCCAAACCCATTCTGCTTGAAAGTACTTAATACAATGAGATGAAGGGACAATTGGTCCATAAAACCACATATAGGTTTTCCTTCCTGTGAATGTTGCCCCAGTTGCTGATTGGGGTCAGGGATTTTCTTTACTAAGTATCCCTGGTTAAGTTGTCAGGTGTCCATATGTTTAAAAAAAAAATTAAAGCCTTAAATGAAACTAAGAATTATGAGAGAGATGAGACAGGGCTCTAGTTCAAGCATGCAAGACAGCCTTGTGCCCACCTGGGGGCATGATGGAGACATCCAAAGGCCTGCAGCTGGATGAGAAATGAAGAGATGAGAAATGGCCTGAGCAACAGCTAGTTTAGTTTAAAACCCTCTCGGTGCCTAAGAAAATTCTTTTCAAAGCTGTAATCTGGAGAAAAGATATCTATGTATCTATCTGCCTGAGTAAATAAAGTTTCTTCACTACAGCTCCGTATGCAAAAAAAAAAAAAAAAAAGGTAATGGGAAGCCACTGAAGGTTTTTGATCAAGTCAGTTACTGTTGGCAGCTATGTGGAAGATGAATTCATTGGTGAACAGAGTGATTGAAAGCAGGGGAATTACAGTCCAGTCCTGTAGTGACTGAGGAAAGTGTCCCAAGGGAGGATGATTGCCAAAGATAGTTTGGAGGAAGAATCTACAAAGCTTAGCAACTGCTTTACTATGGGGTGGCGTTTGTAAGAGAGAAGTTATACAGTTATCCCTTCCACATCGAGGTTTTGATATATTGCAGGCTGGCATAAGAAATTACTGTAAATGGGAATTTTGGGGGAGCTTTACAGAAGCCACAGAAAATACATGAAGGCCAGCAGATGACACAGAAAAAGTTTAGAAACTCAGAAATGCATAAAATATGCCTATGACCCAATACTTAACCCAAATTTTACAATAAGGTACTGTAAGCACCCCATAAAAGAAAAAATTCAGACTTCTCTGGTACGAAGGGAGGACCAAAAAAGTTCACACAGATTTTCCAGACTGTGGGGAAACTGCACCCCAACCACTCCTGAGATGTGGAAGGAATATATAGGTTACTGTAAAGTTGTGAATTTAAGTAACTGGGAAGATGGGAGGCCTATAACACTATTGATTATGGAGAAATGCAAATTAAAACAATTCTGAGGTACCACCTCACATCTATTAGATTGCCCAATATGACAGAAAGGAAAATTATATATATTGAACATGTGGGAAAATTAGGACACTAATGCATTGTTGGTGGAGATGTGAACTGATCCAACCATTCTGGAGAGCAATTTGGAACTATTCCCAAAGGACTATAAAACTATGCATACCCTTTGATCTAGCAATACCACTACTAGGTCAGTATCCCAAAGAGATCACAAAAAGGAAAAACGACCCACATATACAAAAATATTTATAGCAGCTCTTTTGGTGGTGGCAAAGAATTGGAAATTGAGGGGATGTCCACAAGTTGGGGAATGGCTGAACAAGCTGTGGTATATGAATGTAATGGAATATTATTGTGCTATATGAAATGATGAGTAGGCATCTTCTGAGCAATGCAATGATCTAAGCCAATTCCAAAAGACTCATGATGGAAAATTCTACCCACATCCAGAGAAATAACTATGGAGTCTGAATGTAGATCGAAGCATACTGTTTTCACTTTTTTGTTGTGTGTGTGTGTGTGTGTGTGTGTGTGGCTTTTCCCTTTTGTTCTGTTTCTTCTTTCACAACATAACTAATATGGAAATATGTTTACATGACTGCACATGTATACTCCATATTGGATTGCATGCCATCTTGGGGAGGGAGGATGGGAGGCAAAAAAAATTTGAAACTCGAAATCTTATAAAAAATGAATGTTGAAAAGTATCTTTACATGTATGTAGAAGAAAAAATACTATTTACCCCAAAAAAATGTAATTGGGAAACATTTAACAAAATAAATTTTTCTGTGGCTCTCTCTTACCCACAAAAGGCCAGAGCTTCTCGGTCTGGGACTGAGCCCACGACTCTGTATCTGGATTTTATTAGACTCATC